GAATTCCTTACCGCTTTCTCCCCTCCGAAATTAAAAAGGAGGCAAACCCAAGTGTTTCCTCGCACAACACCACGATTCGTGACAAAGGGGTCAGGAAGATCTACGCCCACACGCTTACACCACACGCACTAATTTCACTAATCACTAATTTCATCGGGACGTTCATTTCTTTTAGGGCCTAGTTACTACGACTTTTTGTTTTTGAGCAGGACTGTTAACACAAACAGACCATTTTTCGGGACTTATTATTTGGACTCCGGGAACCTTAAAACGTGTATTTCCATTGAAAACTGAGATTAGAAAATTTTCACGATTCAAAGTTAAAATGTTACATAAGCAAATCAGTGCGTATATTTTTAATTTAAAAATAAGATATGTTCTTTTTAGATAGCATAAAAGACTGAAAGTTTGTACGACGAAAAAATAAAGTAAGACTTACGGATTGAATTGAATTAGATTTATTTTCCTGGAAATAGATCAAAGAAAAGATTTGATTACGATTTATTCGATAAACTAAAGCAATGTAAACCGGCTTACGGTAGATCAGTGTAAACATTTCAGTACCCTCTAATATTGCTGATCAAAAACTTTTTGCCATAGCTTAGTATTGCCAAACAATAATTTCTGTTAAAAGTAGAGGAAATAGTGAAGCTTGTGTGATGCGGGCAACAGATTGTCTTACTTTCACTTAGTCATCTTTTTTCTCTCATTCATCCCTTTCTGACACCAGCATACGAAACCGTAATCTTATATTGGAAATTAAATAGCTGTAACTTCATTATTAGTTGTCCAAAATCGTTTTGGCAATAATGTGTTTTTCGGACTCAAGGGGCTCTGAAATGTATAGATCCGTCAAAAACAACATATCGGAAATTCGACCCGATCGCAATATTTTCTTTACCTAGTATAGATAGGAAAGTAAAAATCCAGTGGTTTCAAGTCTGGAGAGTAACTTCAAATTAATTATCATTATATATATAAATATAAAAAAAAGCTTTTGAACTGAAGCCTTCCCTCACCAAAAATTAAATCCTGGATCCGCTGGTGCTCTGTTTATATAGTTTATTGTACTTAATATTTCTATGTACTTTCTATTCACACTTTATAAATTTTCTATATCCTTTTGTATCTTGTTCGTCCCAGCCTGCAAAATTCACTATTCTATTCTTTTGATGACCGCCATCCCTGACCTTCCCCTACCTCAATAATATAACATACTCCGGTCCACCATAAGGTATTATATTATTATATAGACCGGTCCACCATAAAGTATTATATTATTATATAGACCGGTCCACCATAAGGTATTATATAGACCGGTCCACCATAAGGTATTATATTATTATATAGACCGGTCCACTATAAGGTATTATATTATTATATAGACCGGTCCACCATAAGGTATTATATTATTGTATAGACCGGTCCACCATAAGGTATTATATAGACCGGTCCACCATAAGGTATTATATTATTATATAGACCGGTCCACTATAAGGTATTATATTATTATATAGACCGGTCCACCATAAGGTATTATATTATTATATAGACCGGTCCACCATAAGGTATTATATTATTATATAGACCGGTCCACCATAAGGTATTATATTATTATATAGACCGGTCCACCATAAGGTATTATATTATTATATAGACCGGTCCACCATAAGGTATTATATTATTATATAGACCGGTCCACCATAAGGTATTATATTATTATATAGACCGGTCCACCATAAGGTATTATATTATTATATAGACCGGTCCACCATAAGGTATTATATTATTATATAGACCGGTCCACCATAAGGTATTATATTATTATATAGACCGGTCCACCATAAGGTATTATATTATTATATAGACCGGTCCACCATAAGGTATTATATTATTATATAGACCGGTCCACCATAAGGTATTATATTATTATATAGACCGGTCCACCATAAGGTATTATATTATTATATAGACCGGTCCACCATAAGGTATTATATTATTATATAGACCGGTCCACCATAAGGTATTATATTATCACATAGGCGTTCCAGCGAGGGTTCCCTTCACGTCAGGGTTGGGCTCCAGAGGTCGCGGTCAAACCAATCTCCATCCTGAGGAATCCGGCCAGCCATCGCTTCTTCAACTTCATGTATCCATCTTTTCCAGGATCGTCCTCGCCTCCTTGCCAATCTAGGACTCGGTTAGGCCATCGCTCGGTAGACATTCGTCTTACATGGCCATACCGTACCAGTCTTCGTCGTCCATAAAGTACTCAATAAAAAAAGGATTTGTTTCTTATATTTTTCCTTACACATTTTATAATATTACTTGAAGATAAATTATCAATATAGGGAACTCAAGTAACTTTTAAGAAAATGACTAATTTTATTTTATGTCATAAATGTTTATTCTTTAGAAGGGACCTAAATTTGGTTGGGCTTTTGATCGAGTCTGGCACCCAGGACTGCTTTACAAACTCCGTAAATTCCTACACCCTACATACTTCTTCATTATCCGTTCCTATCTAACTGCTAGATCCTTCAAAGTAAATCATAATAATGCCTAATCATCCCTTTTTTCTCAGTCCGCTGGTGTTCCTCAAGGTAGTATCCTAGATCCTATCCTTTGCACAGTTTATACAGCTGATATCCCAACCCATCCTAACACTGTCATTACCACGTATGCCGATGATACATATGTCATATCAGTTAATAACGGCCCAACAATTACATTCCAAACTCTTCAATCACACATCATAAACCTTGAAGAATGGTTTCAAAACTGGAGGATCAAAATAAATTCCAATAAATCCCATCAAATCACATTTATCCTTCGTCGTAAACCTATGCCCTCTTGTCCTACAATATCCTTTAATAATACCCCACTTATCCCTGTTGAACAAATTCGATACCTTGGATCCCACTTAGACAAACGTCTAACTTGGAATCCTCATACCAGACTGAAACGACAAGAAACAGCTCGACGTTTCCGACTACCCCAGCACTTACTAGACAAACGATCTAAACTTCCAATTAATTACAAAAGACTCATATACATGACTACAATAAGACCTATTTGGACTTACGGAATTGAGTTCTGGGGCTCTATTAAGCCATCGAATTCCTCTCGCATCCAATCCTTACAATCCAAAATCCTTCGTAAAATCCTCACTGCTCCTTACTTTGTCACAAACAAAATCATCCATAACGACCTTAATGTTCCTTATGTTTCTGACCTGGCCCAATCCAGATACCTATCCTTCCATAACAAACTTCAGAACCATCCTAACCCTCTCGTTTCTAACCTTGCTTCCTTTTCGATCCCTGACAAACCTCCGAGGCGTCTGAAAAGAAGATGGCCTCGAGATCTCCTTTTGTAAATACATTTTAGTGTGCTACCAGTGGGTAGTTTCTCAACAAGTGATTTCATGCTATTATATTCTTTTGTTCACATTTACTGAATGTATTTTTACTTGTAATACAATTGTAAATATCATCAATAATAAAAAAAACAAATTAATAAAAATTTGGTTGACTCGTCATGATAAAACGATTATATGAATGGGCTCACCGATATCTTTTTACTTGGAGCATTTTAAAAAGACAATTTTTATTCACCAACTTATTTATACTGTTTTGAACATTACCGATATGAAAACCTTGCTTATAAGCACAACGGAATCAAAGTCTTGATACTGTTAACGAGTTGTAATTCTGAACCGATGTTTACCCGGAACTAACATTAGGAATTAATTATAGACGCTGAATAAATACTCACAATGAGGAGGAGACTCGCTGCGTAGAAGAACTTCATGTTGGCGCGCGTTGAATGGAATGGCGCCCAGCGGCGGTATATATAGTGCGCTCCCCGGCCGGTCGGGACTGACTCATCACCAGCTCTTCTCCAAGCATCATCATCATCAACATTGCATTTGACTGTTGATCGTGCGGCGGTTGATCTTGCGGCGACTGATCGTGCGGCGGTTGATCTTGCGGCGACTGATCTTGCGGCGGCTGATCTTGCGGCGGTTGATCGTGCGGCGGCTGATCGCCCTCATCAGGCATCAGCTCTGTCCATATCGCAACCAGGTCCCGTGGTGCTTTGGTTGGCTCATTTCCACCGCCAGAGTTCAGCAGAGAGCGCGTCGGCACCAGGAGACTTATTATTTTTACTTTCGCTTATCTAAGTAGGTAATATATTATTGCGATCGTGAACATTTTCGAATCTGAGTTTCCAAGGGAAATACACATTTTGAAATCCCTTTAGTCCAAATAACCTGCAAAATGGTCTCTGAGTGTGTATGTGTATTAACAGTCTAGCTCAAAAACGAAAAGTCGTGCGTAAATGAAATTGCATATTTAAGATTTTTATATGCTAAGTGTGTTAACTGGAAGCGGCACTTCATATCAACGGTGAAACACATTTTTACAATTTTTTCCGAAAATAGCACTAACGATTATGATTGAAATCGTTATATCAGTGTAAAATTAAGCAGTTTGAAATAAAATGTAATTTTTATTCTAATTGATGTTTTTTAACAGGGCTTAAATGGCTAATTCTCAATATGGAGTGCCTTTTATTTTTTTATCATAGCAAGTGTTTGTCCGGGGACACGGGCGGATCTACGGAGGGGGGGGGGGGCTTTCGGGCTCCAAAATGGTAAAATATAACCATGTTTTATCGAAAAAAATATTAAAAAAGTATCTCTTAAAGTATTATTATTCGTGTAATTACATTTAAAAGGGCTTTAGGAATAACTTAAACACCATTTCATACAGGTAGTAGTTTCTTTCTTTTTTTTCAAAGTAATTATCGTTATTTTTATGAAAAAAAAAACCTTTCAGGCTGAAGCCTCCCCCAAAAATAAATTATGGATCCGCTAGTGCCCGGGGATATATATCAACTCTCAAGAAATTTCAGTTGCGCGTTTTAACCCATTAAAGATTTAATTTAAGAATCTGTTAAAACCCATTTAAGTTTCTATGAAACCCGTATCAGCGGTACCTTTCTCCCTAGTTACAGGTATACTTGATACGGTCGCTATGGCAGCCAGTAGGTTTGTTCGATTTCCACTTCGTAGTTGAGTTCAGAAGAAGGTAGACTGTTTTAGCCCTACGACCCTAGGGAAGTCCTTGCAGCTCGTGAACCCATCGCAATGAGGGACTCAGTAATGTCGACCATGTCGTTACGAAAGGGTGACGTTATGGATCAAACAGGTCTATTTTTATAACAGTTTCAAAATCATATTTAGTGAATAAACATATTTAGTTTTATCTAAACATATCTTATATTTAACAGTAATGGTACATTCTGCCGAGTATAAATATCATGTGTTCAACAATACGTAAAGGTGTTGTTTTGAAAGGGTAGTTTGTGCGTGCTATTTTCATTTTTATTTATGGAGTTTTATTTATTTTCTAAGTATGTTCAAGAAACTGTAAAGGATGTTAGCGATGGTAAGATCTCGAACATTGCCCTAATATTTATTTCGAAATCCATGAAAACATTAGTTAAATTTAAGAAACGTTAAAATTCCAAAACCAACATAAAACCTATGATTACTCGAGTGAAACTGTATCAAAGTAAAGATGTGTACTTAATTGGTTATTTTGCTTCACAGAGGCACCAGTCGAAACGATCCACAATTTGGTTTTCAGAAGTGAACCAGAGGAAAAGAAATTTCCAATCTACCGAAGCAAGTTTTCAAAACAGGTAAAGCAATTATTACCTCAAAAGTAAATGTTTTTTATCGACAACTGTTAATAGCCAGTGGTACAGGCCCCATTTTATCAAATTATTAACATCCGGCTGAAACTTTGTAAATAACTTCATCTCATCGTAACCTACAAATATATTATTTACGAAAATTCTCGGAATTGGTGAGTTTTCGATCTGGAAGTCGGCAAACTTTGTCTATTTAATTAGGTTCTGAAAACTTGTAAATACCCATTTGCTTTCCACTTTAATCGTAAGATAACTTGAGCACAAAGTAGAGGAAAAAGGTGGCATTCAAAAACATTGAGCCGTTGGGCTCGACTTACACTCCCAAATTGTCAAAATAACGAGGTTATATAGACCGAACGGCTCAATATTTTTGAAGGCCATCTTTTTTCTCGACTTTGTGCTCAAGTTATCTTACGATTAAAGTGGAAAGAAAATGGACATTTACGAGTTTTCAGTACCTAATTAAATAGACAAAGTTTACCGACCTCCATGCTAAAAACTCACCAATTCCGAGAATTTTCGTAAATAAAATATTTGAAGGTTACGATGAGATTAAGCTATTTACGAAGTTTCAACCGAATGTTAATAATTTGACAAAGAGGGGTCTGTACCACGGACTGTGATGATGATTACTGTAGGATATTGAGGTATCATTGAGCAAGTCAAGTTGTAAGACTGTTGTTTCAACAAGACACAACCGGATTGAAAAGAGCCCCCCCTCCCAGTGTAGAAAAAGTAATCGTTTGTCACTCCACTTTGACGTAAAGCTCAAATTTATGATCACGCTACAAATGGAATCCCCAGAATGGCCGAGTGGGTTTTATAGTTGTGGTTTGTCAATCCCGTTAGAGGGAGTGGAAATCGGAAGCAACGATATTTTTAAATTTAATTAACTGCCGATTTTAATTGAAAACAGCCGCTAGATAGTTTGAGGTAGTCGTGAATGGTGGTCTAAATAAAGGGAGGTTATAAAGTCAACACTTTACCAATCTTCGGCCATTTCGGAAGCTTATATATAGCGAGGTTCTAGTCCCACTCGTCAAAATGGAGTGACACTTGTACAATAGTACACATTTTTATTTTCATTTACCTACATATATGTGTAATATATACTAAGGGTATTGCGATCGTGAAAAATTTCGAATCTGAATTTTCAACGGAAATGCATATTTTGAGGTTCTCTGAGCCCAAATAATCAAGTCGCATAAAAAGGTCTGTGTGTGTATGTATATGAACAGCTTAGCTCAAAAAATAGAAATCGAACAAAACTGAAATTGCATATTTAAAGTTTGTATATGCCTGAGATGTCATAGCAACTTTTTCGCCAAAATCAGCAAACTGGAAGTGGTACTTTATGTTATCGATTTTACACATTTTTGCGATTTTCTAAAAAACGGCTGTAACGATTTTTATTAAACTCACTAGGTTCCAGTGTATTATTAAGTGGTTTTCAATTTAAGTTATTTTTTCGAAGAGTTTTGTGATAAATGTTTCCGATCAAACTTTTTTTTTTCCAAAAGATCTATTTTGCCCACAACCATTAGTATTGTTCGATATTATACACAGTCGTAAAATAAAATGGAAAGTGATGCAAATGTATAAATTTAACTTATCAGATGGGCGAGAAAACATGATAATTTATTGTTTTAAAAGGAATTATACCGTCGTTTTCACTCGATTTAATTTAAAATTAGAAAATACCTATGTACTTTAGGGTTGGTAGGTGAAAGTTTTGTGATATGTGCACTGCACCAGATTTTTTTTTTTTATGGGTGATATTAATCTCTAAATCAGAATATATTCTCTTTTCTAGTAATAAAGCAGGTACTTCACCTACTAAATGTATGATCCAATAAAAAAACAATATATAAAAAAATTATCTCTGAAAACATAGTTGCTATAATTGCCAGCTTACTAAAAAAAATCATCCTCCCAAAATTAAACCCTGGATCTGCTACTGAATTTAAATACTTCTATTTAATGGATTCGCAATTTAATGGTGTATTTCAGAGAGAGAGAGAGAGAGAGAGAGAGAGAGTGAGAGGAAAGGCCATTTTTTTTTTTTTTGTTGTCAACCAGACGTTTTATTATTCATTGAGTTATAATGGTGCATTCATTTCGGTGAAAAAGTTCCCTTTTTAATGGAATCCCATAGCTGGGAGAAGGGAAAGAGAGAAACAATTTTTATCTATCAAAGCCTAGACTGACCACAGTTTAAACCATTTTGTAAATAATATAAGTAAAGCATACATAAAACAATTTGTTAAAGATTAGTATTAGTTTAGTATTAGTATTAGGTTAGTATTAGATTAGTATTTTTATATATATTTGGGCAGGATGGATTTTTAAGTTTGTCCTGAGGGAAAAGATGTGAAAATAGACCAAAAGAAAAATTTAAATATATGGTGAAAATGCTGCTACTGAATTACCTCTATTGTTAAATAATTAACAAAACACTATTCAAGCATTTCAATTGTATTTAATATTTAAATGTAATAATTTATAAATTGTTAATCGATTGATTAATTGATTATCATATGAATTGTTAAAATAAATTAACCATTTAATTACATTGAGAATTATTGTTCACATTTTTATCTTTTTTAAAAAATTACTTTTTTTATATTTTGATTTCAACATTCTAGTATTGGTGCCCTATATCGAGGAATATACTTCAATGCATTAAATGAGATTACTATCAATTCTCCATTTATTTAATAATAAATAAAACATTATTGCCTTATTTTTACACAGTTGTCCATTATTTCTTATGTCACTTCTATATTGCCATTTACATCAAGTTAAATACACTTTTTCCTTGGTTGAATTATGAATCCATTAATTGGAAAATTTAAAGTAGGATTCACAATCTGGAAAAAATGTATAATATATTTATTGTAACGCAATGTAGTTGCATTATATGCACTTTTAAAAAATCATTAGTTTTTTACCTATCATATCTTCCACAGCTTTATTTCTCTAAGTAATACATTAATTATCTTTATTTTTTGTTACAATTAATAATGAATGGAAGAAAAAATAAAACAGTAGTTATCAATCTCATTAGTATGTAAATTAATATCCATTTAATGCTTGGTTAAAAACTAATTTGCTCAACTAAATCTAATAGTAAGCATGAATACGTTTCTATGAATTTTATATTTGTATTTATGTTTATGTAATCTCAAGTTTTATTTCTTTGTTTTTACTAAGCTTTGTTTTCTTTCCTTTTGTTGTAATTTTTCTATTGTTCTTTCGTTATTTTATATATGGTATGAATGAGTCTCACAAAGCTCTAACACTCAATGCCCTTAATTGAAGCAAAATGTTGGTAGTAAATTCTTCTATTTCTTCTTTTTGTTGGAAAGCTTTATATATTCTGTTTTTTGGCAATGATAACTTCCAAATATAAAATAATTGATTTATTTGTTGAATTTATATGTTAACGTTAGGGAAATTTACTCCCATTTTTAATATATATTATTCCAAAAATATTATTAAAATATATATTAAAATTGTTAAAATTATTCTAAAATAGTTTTGTATTAAGGTTATATGCTGAATAATTATACTCTGTTTGAGGTCCGGGAAGAAATAAAAAAAAGGAAAGAATGTCACAAAACTTTTGGTTTGCCAAAAGAGATGTTGGCTCCGACGAAACTGAAGAAAGGAAGCCGGAGGGTAGTTAGGCCCGATGTTGGTATGCCATTAGAATACTAAGTCTAAAACTACACATTAAAATTGAAAAAAATAGAACATTTAAGAAAACAAAGTTACTTAAAACTTACAATGTTGCTTAAACATTAAATAGTTTACTGTACTTATAATCAATGAGGAAATGATCAGAATGGCCACTAAGGTCAACACAAAAAATAATAAAAAACTATCTGTATATGTTGTCAAGGTTTCAGTGCACATTGTAGACCTTCTTAAGGGCTAAAAAGAATAAGATCGAACAAAAATAAAAATCATAGAAGTATAAAGTATATAAATGGTTAGAATAGAGAAAGTGACAATGATAGAAATGAAAAATTTACATCTGATTAGTTGTAGATAAAACTGTAAATTAAAAATAAACTGACACGGAATAAATAAATAAAGCAAAACTAAATAGAACAAAAACCACAATAACAGTAAAAGTAACCAATTAGAGTAAGGGATGGTTAAATTTTATAAATTAGTGAAATATTATAATGTTAATTGCATAAGATATTTTGCAAAATGAGACAGCTACATTTTCCAATTTTTATTATTTAATTTTTTGTTTAACCCATTTTTAATGTAAGATTTATGAAATGATTTAACTGATTTTGGAAGAAACGTTTTCATCTCATGATATTGTATTACCTAAATACAAAAGCTAAATAACATAACAGCACCACAACCGTATTTGGTCTCACTAGGAACTGATAGCCATTCCTCCATATCTTCTGTCTTGGTTGGTTGGTTGTTGTATTGTAAAGGCATAAAGCCTGTTGGTTATCAGTGCCATTAATTAAGATTATTTGTAATTTATATGTTCCAATTATGAATAATAAGAACAGAATTAAATTTAAAAAATACGTAATATTGAAGTTAAGTTTAAAATTATTCGTTATTAAAGTTTAGTTATTTAAAGATTATATAAAGTTAAGAAGTTAAATAAAAAAAAAATTTAGTGGGGGAGTGCTGCATGAGAGGTTGAGAACTTTTTAAAGATTCCTTCTTCAGAAAGAAAACATATGATTTTTCACAAAATGTTTCCATCATTTACCAAAGCAGTTGATGTATTAGCTGGTATTCCTCTTTTGTTTAATTCTCTGATGTAAAAGGCACAATTCTCAAAGATATGGACCACTGTCATTTTCTCTCCACACTTCCAACAAATTGGCAGGTTTTCTTTTCTAATTAAGTGAAACTGGATTCCCATCCTAGTGATGCGCCTGAGAGAGAAGTGCTGGGATCTCTTGGAGTCTTGCCTTGTCCTCCACACGTGGGAGAAAAGGCCCGACTCGGAGCTCTCTCGGCTGACTGTAAATATTGGAAATAAGTATGAATGTGTTTTTATTTATTTAATGTAATATCATGTTTGATTTATTCTCTTACTCCAAGTTTTATTTTATTTTATTTTGTTATAATCTTGTTTTTCTTTTATTGTATATATGGTATGATTGTGTTTCATTCATCCTAAATACTCAATGCCCTTAATTGAGGCAAAATGCTTTTTTTTTCTCAATAAAAATATTAAAACATAAACAATTAAGTGAAGGTGCGTAAGCCTGGTAGTATGGCTTATTCTTAGTCACGTAAGAACAACTTCCTCTCTGTGTTTGCTGCGACTGGAACTGCTCCGTGGCTTCACTTCATTTTTTATCTTCTGTCTTGATTTGCCATCCTCTTACTTCCATCTGTCATAACTTGTCCTCTACGTCTCTTGTCTCTATCCAACCACCTCAACCTTGCCTTTCAGTCAATCTCTTTCTGCCTTCTACGTTTTAAGCATCTTATTCTTCTTCTCTTACTGATTAAGTTCTAGATATCCTCATGTACTCTGTCTTAGTTTCATTTATATATATAAGTCCATTTCCAAGCTTAGGTCTTAACTTTAAATCTGTCTGGCTATTTCATCTTTGCGTATTCGCTAATGTGCTTTTTACGAGACTAGGTTGTCAGCCCAGTGTTCAGCCCCCAACCTGGAGGTCCGAGATTATTTGTTGGGGTTTACTCCCTTAGCTTCTGAACTTTTGTTCTGATCCATAAGACGTTGTGGGATTAAGAATTTTAGGAGTAGGATAAGAAGGGATATTTAGGATGGAGGTATGAGGTCAATGGACATTAGCACCCCAAATGGCAAGCATGTCAGTTAGAGAAAAAAGTTGTCCTCTTAGTCATCTGTTACGGATAGAGTTAAATACTGTGAGTCTGCTCTACCCGAGCCCACAGAGGGGCCAGCAAAAATTACCGAAGAAAAAAACAAAATATTAAAAATAGGAAATTGGAGTTGGATGGTTTTTGAATAAAATGGTTCAAACAAAATTATAATTAATTATTATGGTGTAAATTCATTTTTATTGTATCTCATTCTTTGTAGCCCTTCAGATGACCTGCAACTTGTTATTTATTTGATGTATTTTTTGCCTTTTTGTATTAATCTTAACTGCCCCGCTGGGGCTATTGTATCTTTAATGTTATGGTTTATTTTGAATTAATGAGTCACTGAGTGTTAACTTTAATGTGTTGGATAGATAAAACAAAGCCTGATCTCCCTCTAAAAATGAAGGTCCCTACAAGAGAAGAATGGAATAATCCTGCGCATAGAGAGCATACAAACTTCCTGCTTCGTAACATGATCAAAGCAGTTCGCTTGAAACCTCCACAAGGACCGAGCCGAGCATTCGACCCCGCCAGTGGTCGAAGGTACCATGCCTGCAATCTCCTCGCTCCCAAGTTCTCTTTAAAGGAAGTAAGTAACCTTATATTATATTTTATATATATATATATATATATATATATATATATTATATATATATATATATATATATATATATATATATATTTTGACGTAATTTCTTATTCAATTTATTTTCAGACTATTTCTCACTATTTAATTTTTTTTAGCCATTGAAACCAACTCTTTCAACTGTGTTATTACTTAATATATTAGTGATATTAACATTTTATGTTAGTTTATTTCACTGTTTTTTATTCAATTTTGAAAACAATAAACTTATTGCTTTACACTTTTCCTGTATGTATAATATTCTGTAACCCAACCTTTATTTAAAAAAAAAAAAAAAAAAAAAAAAAAAAAAAAAAAAAAAAAAAAAAGCCCAGTGGAGTATCCAGAAGGTAATTGGCCGACTTGGGACTTTGGTTGTTTCTAAACCGAGACTCCATCTGAAGAGATAGCTGCATCAGAAAATGTGCTCCCAACTGATCACGATTTGGGTTCCAAATCAATGAATCGAAACTACTTCCCAGGCTCATATTAAAAAGAACAATTCCGTAACTCCAGTAGGTCAACCCCGCAGAGATAAAAAGCCTCCATAAATGTATGCATTAGGAATTTTTAGATGATTTTAAATATTTTTGTAAAATCCTTGTAGTTGCATGGTTGTTGCTGTTAATATTGCAGACTCCTGTTTATTTTATTCTAAATAAGATGAGGGGTGTAAATTAGGAAGCAACATTGGCGATGTATAACTTTATAAATAATATAAATGGTTATAATTGTATTATTATTAAATTTAGAGAAGTTTAATGAATACAGTGATTGACTTTATTATTAATCATAGAATCCTACTGTAAGCTATTTATGCGTTAATGTTTACTAACAGGATTTTGGAAAAGTACCTAAATACCTGGAAGAGAGAAAAAGACATCTTGCAGAGGAAGCAGAGGCCCGACGTAAACAAGAAGAAGAGAAAAGAAAGATTGAAGAGGAAAATGAGTTGTTGTCGGCGGATGAAGAAGAAGACACTGGACGGGACACGAGGATCTCTGGTCAGCTGGAGAAGAAGAAGAAGCGGGAACCGATATTCAGGCTTGTTCCTCAAGAAGAGAGGAATGAACTCTTGCTTGTAAGTTACTCGATTTAATATTTACCATATTTACTATATATTATTATTTATTAAATAAACTATACACTTATTAGGAATAAAAAAAAGTTACATAGCATATGCGATTAATTAACTTTAGCCAATTAATAAAGCTACTGAATTAGAACCATATTGAATGAATTAAAATTCAAATATTAATCAATATAAAACAACTTAAGAACTTAATTAAATTTTTTGGGAAGATTTGACGTCATTGACTGATGGTGCCAAATGTCTAAGGTTGAAATGTAAGAACAGAAGGGTACAGTACACTCTGTAAAAATATTTCTATCCACTGATAATTTTATAGTATACATATATCCCATAAAAATATGCCTTAAAAAATTCCAAAATAAAAAAAAACAGCCAAGTTCATCATGAACATGTATGTCATTGTAATAATTAAAATAATTAAACTTGAACTTTTAGGATGAGAGGAAAATATTTAGAATTTTAACATGATCAGACCAATATAGCAGTTTAAAATTCTGTACTTTTTTTTTTATTATCTTATAATTTGAGAATTAAGTTTTTTTTGTGATTTTAGAATTTTTTTTTTTTTTGATCCAGCCAGAAACATATGACCATAAAAAATATAAATGGAAAAAATAGCAATGAGATAGTCCAGGTGATGGTCAAGAATAACATAAAATAGTATTGTAATTTGGTAGCTACTTATTAAATGCCAAAGTTTTGACCCACATAATAGGTCTTCATTATGGCTGATGGAAGGAACCAAGTTTGCATCAATCGACAGTTGATTGAGTTTTCAACCAATAGTTAACTCTTGTATCAACTGACTGGTAGCTTCAATTCATTTCCTTGTTTCAGTCTGGATGAAGAAGCAGTTTATGAGTCAAAACTTTGCCAGTTATTAGACCAAGTGCCACTATTATATTTATTAGGCCAAGTGCCACAATTATATTTAATTTTTGATCACTATATTGGTCATATTCTTTTTGATTTACAAAATGGTGAACCATCAAAATTATATCTGTTTGGTTTTGAGAAAGTACTAAATGACAAACAAGGGGTACTGAAAATAAATTATTCTAGCCTAGTTTAGGAGCTGGAATGCGAAATCATGTTATTATTTTCAATCTAAAACTTTTTAAATGGTTCCTTAACAATTATCCCCGCCAGAATAGACTAGAAATAATTATCTCAATAATTCACTTTGATGTAATTTAGCTTTACTTTAGTATCTTACTCATCTAAAACCATCTCTTTTTACCATCTTTTAAGTAACATTGAGCATGAAGGAAAATATTAGTCGGTCAATAAATAAATACAATAATTACCAGTCGAGCTCAGCATATGCCCATAATACTTCTCAACTCTGGCAACTTCTTCCCTTATGGTTAACTTTTCCTTATTTTCTCTATTGGCTTACTGTTGATAAGCCAAGAGCGCCTTTGGATCACCTCATTTAGAATACCTCTTTCTTTCAATCATAATTTTCTCCAGTTTTCCTTGAGTTTCATCAGCTTTTTCTTTCTAACTATTTCTGAAGTTATCTTCATATAAATTTTGTATAATGCAAAACTGATCACTTTTCCTGTGAATTGATATGTCATTATGTCTTCTCCATTCATGGATTTTTTTTCTTCAAACTAGATCTGAAGTAGATTCTGATTTTGAACACACTGGATTATTTCTTCCTCTCTTTCTATATTAACTTTTCTGCATAATGTTAAAAAATCTGTACATCTTCAATATAATAAAAACAGATATTTTTTCTGATCAAATAATATAACTTATAAATATTATTTCACAAAATAATTTTTTATTTGTTTAATGTTGAAATTTGATTATTGGTGTATGAGTGAACTTCAATAATGTAAATGTACATGAAAAAGAAAATCCTGTCACTTCGATCCATGGAAGATCTTAGAAAGGAATTGCTGTTGTACTCGTGGCCAACAGCTGTGCAAGAAAGGTTGTATTGTAATAGGTTTGATCCATACGACGCTCTACCACCAGGTTTTTCCCTTTAATCAATGATTTAATTTAGAGTCCCCATGTTGTGTGCACCACAGAAAGGTTTTCTGATCTTAAGGTGTACCTTAAGTCGTAGCTGGTTTAACAGAATGAATAATTATATGCCTAAGCAGAACCTGGAGCATAGGAGCAGTACCTTATTGGCTTAGCTATTCCACTTACCTTATACCACTTACCTTATACCACTTACCTTATTCCACTTACCTTATACCACTTATATATTAGTGTATATTTATTAATATTCATCAGTACGTCTATAAGTTTATATGTGTTAATCTTAATATATTTATTAATTGTGTACAAATATGTTGGCAATACCCGAGTTATGTTTTCAGGGCTTGAAAAAGGCCTGGGAGGAGCTGACCAAGGAATTCAAGCTGCTGCCAACAGTTGTCGATTCAGTCCCGATGGTGAAGAAGAAACACAATCTTGAACAGATCCTGGACAAGATAGAGAGGGATATAGATCTATTGGAAAGGCACCAATATATATACGTCTATAAAAATGATGTTCCGTGTTGCAAGGATTTCAATAGGCGACAAACATATATATAATTTGTTTTAAAAAAAATGATTTTGTCTTAATTGGATGTTTTAAATTTGTATTTTTATATATTACTTTCACTTATTTTTTAGTATTGTGCAATTAATTTCTAACTATTGTTATATCAGGTTATTTTTATTTTTATATTATTATGAATTACTGTTCAGTAAGATATTAAGTCTTGAAATAAATCAGCAAATTTGTCTTTTATGAGCTCATTGCCAAAACCAAACTGGTCGGGCTGACACAACTGTTTGAATAATATTTTTTATACATTTATTAATGTTTGATTGTTAAAACTACTAGTAAGGGTAGTGCATTGGCTGTTCTGCTTAATTGTTAAACACGGATTCCAATGCCAGTATCTTAAAGGAAAAAATCAGTTTTGTTTCATAATTTAAAGGTAATTTACTACCAAAAAGTCTTTGTTACTTGTCCATCTTGTCTAAATGTATCTCTGAAAACAAATGAGTTGTCTTAAGATATGTTAATATTTATTGACAATTGACTTTTACTTTTTTTATATAAAAGTTTCCATTAATATACTATTGGTTAGTGAAAAATAAAAAAAGAAATAATTTAACAATGATTAGAGTAACTTTGATGTGAAACTAGTTCATGAACAGCCAGCGCATTCCTCGATAATCTTGAAATTAGCTTCTAAATTATTGTTATTCCCCCCGAATTTAATTGCTAATTTCAAATATTTAAAAAACTAATCACTGTATAATCAATATTATATTAGTATTATTATCTATGATTTAAGAAACAGAAACAAAAATCATCGAGGCTGTAGTGAGCTCAAACAAATTTGCCACAATAGGTGAGAGAAGGCAGCTTTGTTAATTCAATTTTATTCTTATAGAGGTTGTCCTTTATTTTCTTTCAAAATGTTGAAATACAAATAACCAACTCATTTCTTCCTTTAAATTTCTCAGAAATGTATTAATTATATCTGTTGCTATTTTATTTCCATTTTTCCACACTGTTCCACCCTGGCCACTTTCATGAAAAAAAATTAAGTCATGCCAGTTAGAATAAATACAGACTCGAGCTTTTTTAATCATTACATCAATCTTGTTATATTTTTATAAATTTAATGAGGAAGAATCAATAATAAAAATTTCATAATATGTTACTTGAATTTAGTGGTTAATATATTATGTTGGAGTTGTCAATCAGGAATTTTTGGTACTGTCCTCTGGCTTCCAGTTTTAGTTTTAAAAACAGAACCTGCAAAACATCAAAGATATCTTTGTCATCATATTTAGAAAAAAAAAAAAATGTGAAAAACCGCTATTATTGAGAAGAATGAAAGCATCTTGAATAAAATGTGAACCCATGAAGATTCAGTTGAAATAAAATGGTTTCCTTTATAACCTATCCTTCACAGATGACCAGGTCATCATTGCACAGGACGCAGAAGATGCTGGATATATGTTAAGGAAATTAAATGAGGAATACCAGCAGTGGGGACTAGTTATTAATGCAGAAAAAACGGAACACATGACATTGAATAATGAGGACATAGAAATGAATCCAGGAGGAGTTCTAAAAAGAGTTAAGCATTTTAAATATCTTGGTTTCATAATTGAAATGGATGGTCCATGTGATGTGGAAATAAAAAGAAAAATTTCAGATGGCAAAAAGACCTTATAAATGCACAACTTGGTATTATGGAATCGGAACATTATCCCCAAAACAAAAATAAATATCTACAATAATATCGAACCGTTCTGGAAGAGATCGAGAAAAAATGCCTGAAGTAGTATAGAATTTGAAAAGAATGCCCGTTGGAAAACTACTCAAAGAAGTCTACTCATGGAAAACTATGAAAAGAAGAAGACGAGGAAGACCTGGGATAACAAAGTGGAGGAATCCATGATGGGTCTTCTACTGGTAAAATGCACCTATACATATATATACATATATACATATACATATACATATACATATATATATATATATATATATATATATATATATATATATATATATATATATATATATATATATATGTATATGTATAGGACATTATGGAAAGAAGGCATCCATGGACTCTAGGTTAAGAAAACCCACTATTAGTGGAAACTACTAATAAAAAAAAAATTGAGAAGAAAAAAACAAGAAATTCGTGTTTTACTTTTAACTTTAGCATTACAAATAATTTTTTTATATCTGGATCTTATTACTCTTATGATTTTCATATTATAATTAATAAGATTTTTTCAAAAATACTTGTATTAATATATAAATATCGTTAATTTCAAAAATTATATGCATTGATTGCACACAGTGGTGATATTTATTTTCTACAGCCATAATCCAGAAGTAATCGTTTTATTTTCTGAATAAAGGCTGTTATTCTAAAGGGACTTTGTCCCAGAATCAAGTTATTTTTCTATTAAATTATATTCCAACTTCAAAGTTCTACAATAAAAAACATTTAATAATCTTGGTTATTAAGTGCAAGATCTTCTGACAGGACTTTTACTCTGATGTGGTCCTATTACCTCTCTCTTGCCCTTAACAGCATTACAATCCTGTAATAGGCATTATATGCTAGACATACTTCTATTTAAATGTCTTGTTGATATTATCCAAAGTGTCTTACAATGCCTGCGACACAACGACATCTGTATTTCACAAAATAAAAAGTAAACCTTCACTGAGTGAAAAAATGATCTTTTAGGAGGAATAGGAAGAGAAAAATACTAATTTAACGAAAATATAAAATTTAATCCTTGAGATGTTTTGGTAATCGGAGATTTGGTATTAAATGACTAGGAAATTCATTTAAAAATTATTACACTTTTTTTCATTCAATGCTAGTTTTTACTAAGATACTAAATACATTTGAAGTTCTTAGCACAAAACTAAAACTTATCTACAACAATTAAGGAATTTTGCAATATTTTTTATTAGTTACCAAAGGACACATCATTCTGCATCTGTGTAGCCGCTGAATTAATGATTACTTGCTAATTATATCTATGCTATACATGAGATTGAACTTGATTATTTTCTTTCTTTATTTATACGTGTCTCTATACTAGAGGCATTGGCAGTTATTAAACATTATTAATTTAAATGGAAGTTGTTTTGCTGATATTGATATCTTGTTGAGTATGCAACAAAGATACTAATCGGCAGAAGATGTATCACTTTGAATCGCACTATACTAATTAAAGCTACATAAGTTCTTTTTCGATCGAGTTCTTTTCCTTGGGTTGCGGTTGGCACCACATCTTGGCGCAGATGAGGTTCGGCTTCCCCTGAAGGTTGCAGGTGCAGAGGTTACAATCGACCCAAATGAGGTCTCCGGGTGAACATTGTTCTGATCCTAGAATAAAAAAATATATATATTGATAAAAGGTATTAATATCACATTGTCCCCAAAAGAAATAATTCAGAATTATCAAATTCAATAATCAGTTAAGTCAGAAAAAAATAAAATAAAAAGTGAACTACTTTAAAATATTCACTTACAATAAATAAGTGAAAAATAGAATTATTGCATCTTATAATTTTTAGTTTAAAGCATTGTCAGTAGAGAGTTTCAGTAGTAGTTAACAACAGGAATAATTGCATGTTAAAATACAGTACGACTCAAGATAAACCAAGCTGTGTTCAGCAGAACACCATCACCAAATTTGTAGTTTTCTATCATTGTTATTTGGTAAAGAGAGAGAGAATTTGTTTCATCAATGCTTACATGACAAATTAAAATATAATTTTAAAATCAATTGAACTGCTGAACTGAATAATATTAGCATATTTAATATTTCTGCCTTCACTGGTACCACTTTCAAGAAAAGACAATAAATTTTCTAATGAAGTTGAGGACTCCTGACTGAATTTCTCATGTTTTGTTCTAAAAATTTAATTATTTAGTGTTCCAATTTAATTTATTGAAATATGGATGGGGGTATTGGTACAAAGTAGTTCCTTTTTACCAATTATTCCTTGGATCAAAACAAAGATATTTCACAGAATTTAACTTGGGGACTTATTTTTTATTTATTCATTTTTTTTAATACTGATAATTATTCTGGAAGATAAAGAAAGATTAAATGGTACTTGAAACCTGTCAAAAAAATAAATATATGTATGTATAGGTGTTTCAGGGTTATTTGGCCAACTGCAAAAATGAATTAAGAACCTCAAAACAAGAAAAAAAAAATTCCTCTGAAGGTATGTCCGCAAACGCTTTGTTTAGAAGATATTCACAACTAAAGATTTTCGTTGTTATGAATTATTTATGTTATATAAAATAAATGAAACCTATTTATTTGTTGTAACTACTTTATTAATTAAATGTAAACATTAACATTCATATTAAAAGTTGCTCAAAGTGGAGGTATGTCCGCAAACGGTTTGTTTAGGAGATGGATTAGATAGAATACTAATATGGCCTTTTATCCCTAACTGTATAAAAATTGTTGGCAACATAAGGATTAATACTATTTGGAATTAGCATTGGGAACTCTCAATAACATTTAGCAGTTTGTAAGAGACTTTAGCAGAGTACTCATCATTATGGCTTCTTTTTATACTTATGGAGAATATGTCAATATGGTGTTTGTATAAGGTTTTTGCAATGGTGATGCTGCCCATCGTGAATACGCGAGGCGATTTCCGAATAGAAAATTACCAAACAAGTCTATCTTTAGCTCTGCGTTTCAATGTCTTAGAGTAACTGGTATATTTGATTTGATACCACGTGCTGATGGTATTTTTATCCCTTAAGGAAATGAAGAAAGGAGTGCGATCATATTACAATATTTTGGTGATAATTCATCTGGCAGTGAAGTCGATCATAATCCACAATTTTCAGGAAAAATTCTCTGGACGGATGAAGCTACGTTTTTATAAGAAGAGATATCTTCAGCCAGAAAAATAATCATCTCTGGTCTCAGGAAAACCCCCATGCATTTCGTGAGCATCATTTTCAGTACCAGTTTCAGTGCAATGTGTGGTTAGGGATAATGGACAATATTTTAATATTTCCGCATTTCTTGCCGCCTTGACTCAACGCTGGCACATTCCTTTGATTTCTTAATAATGATTACTATGATTTAGTTGAACATATTCCACTCAAACTGAGAAGGGACCTGTGGCTTCAATTAGATGGCTGTCCTACACATCACGGAAGAGGCCCACGACAATGGCTAAATGTAAATTATCCCAATCAATGGACTGGCCGTGCAGGACCAGTGGCTTGGCCTGCACGCTCTCCAGACCTGACACCACTGGAATTTTTGGTTTGGGGTGACATCAAACAAAAAGTTTATGCAAGTCCGGTCAATGACCTTAATTCCTTATGAAGAAGGATGATTGTATCTTGTGAAACAATAAGAAATATCCAGTACCGTTCTGCCACAGCTGCTGTCGAAGAAAGATGGCGAGACCGTCTTAATGCTCAAGGAAATCACTATGGACAACATTAAATATGAATGTTAATGTTTGCATTTAATTAATAAAGTAGTTGCAACAAATAAATAAGTTTTATTTACTTAATATAACGTAAACAATTCATAACAACGAAAATTTTTAGGTGTGAATATCTCCTAAACATAGCGTTTGCGGAAAAACCTTCAGAGGAATTGTTTTTCTTGTTTTGAGGCCCTTAATTAATATTTTCAGTTTGGCCACTTAACCCTGAAACACCCAGTGCATTATTATCTTTGAAAATAAATCACAATTTTTACGTTTCAGGATACGTAGAATTCCAAAAAGAAATACTGTTTTTTTCCGTTCGGCGTCCGAGTATTTTATCCGAAACTACTGGACCGATTTTTGAGGTCTAACACACTTAACAAATTAAAGATATTTTTGAATTTTTTTACAATGTTCATTTTTATCTGATAAATTTCTCGAAATGTATCAATGTTATGAAGCCTATCTCCCCTCTCCTCTGTGTTTAATCTAAACAAATACGTTATACATTGAATTGTATTTTTTAAAGATATTTTGAACTATACATAATGGGTAAAACAAAAATAAATAAATAAAAATCCTTACAAGTATATAAAAGATTTTATTTCAAATATTCAATTATGTTGTTTATATCAATTAAGCTGTCCATATTTGTCTCTTTCACAATAATTGTGTTGAATTTTTACATCCAGTAAAAACTCCCACCATCTTTTTTTTTTCGTCCATCGCCCTCCCTCAATCAAATCGAAAGTCTGCGCCTATGATATTACACCCACTGGCGGATCTACGTTAAGATGGGGATGAGAATTCTTTCGGGCCGGTTTTTTTTCAGATAAATATTTAAATAATTACAATATAATGTTTTATTTTTAAATTATAATGCATATATAGCTAGTAAATGTAACAACGTGTACAAATAAAAATTAAGATATTTGTCTCTAGCAGTATTATTGTTTCTCTAATTTGTATTTTTTTTTTTACCACTTAAATCACGGCACATCATTTCATAGAGGTAGTTTTTTTTCTTCCAGAGTAATTATCGATGGAAAAAATAACTAAATAAAAATTAAACCCTTGACCACCACTGATTACACCCACATGACCCCCTCATTATAGACCTGCTCGATTACCTGTGAACTTGGAGATGATAGGAGAGGCGACAGCCAGGGCCACGAAGTAGACTAGGAGGTAGAGCATCGCGATCTGAGTGCCGTCTACTCCCTCCACCGCTCCCGGTCCGAGTGTCGGAGGCTATCTGTCCAAGGTTCGCCGAACCTCTCTCCAAAAGATATTTGGCTATCCGTTCATTAATTAATTAGTCATCAAAATTTGCCTTCAAGTTAACCACACAAGACCACAAGTTAAAAAAATCTGGTGCGCGCAACACACAACTTTCACTTTGAATAGAAATTATTTTCTGGCAATGCTGGGCTATTATAACATTTTTTGAAGTGCATTTTAAACGGGGCTAAAGCTTAAAGCTTACAGATAACAAGTCATTAAGACCATTATAATTACAAAATGTCTATTTAATATATCGGCGGTAGGCAATACAAATCTAATCACTCCATCTGCTTTTATAAACCACAGAATGATTAACTCCAATTTCAAAATTTTTGAGTAATGTCAATTTAGTGATATTTTTAGTTGAAAAAAGTTATTTATGCAGACAGTGAGTAAGTTGATTCCGGAGGTGGTGATTGCAGTGTTGAAATATAGAACTGAGAATAAAGGTATAATTTAGGCACTTATTTCTTCTGAAAGATGTTCTGAGGTAAGATACTTCATTAAATAGCTGTAGAAAAGAAATTTTTTTATTCTAAAAAATTAAAAAAGTATATTTTAAATTTATACAAATTTTCGCCTCTTCAGGGGAAAAAACTTGAGACCATACCTTTCCTCCTAATTGTCCGATTTTAACGATTTTTTTTTTTTTTTTTTAGGAAATTCCATAAACTTTTAAAAACCATATACAATATCGACAAAAAAGTGTGTACATTTTGAGTTATTCGGAATTTAATTTTACCATCCCTCGTAACTTTTTTCCAGCTTCTTTTCGTTGAAGTATGTTATATAGATAAATTTAAAGGGTGTCCAGAAAATGACTTTAGCGAAGTTTCATTGAAATAGGTACATTCGTTTAGGCGCTACAGTCTATAGCAACGCAGGTTTTTCTGCATTTTTATTTTTTTTCTCGTTTATTAACTCATCAAATTCTTTCAAAAGTTATATATAACATTTTTTCGTAATTCTGAATAATGTGAAATGATTAACTTTTTAAAATAAACCATATTAAAGGCACTTTAGAAGAAGACGTATATGAACATTGGGCATTTAAGCCCTGTAAAGTGACATCAATGGGGATAATACCTAACTGATATGAAAGAAAACTTAATTATAGAATGATACACCGAGTTTAATCAAAATCGTTAGAGCCGTTTATGAGAAAATTGTAAAAATGTGTTTCAGCGTTCATATAAAGTGGCACTTCCGGATAGCCGATTTTAACGAAAAAGTAACTGTCACATCCGGCTCATATACAAACTTTAAATACTTAATACCACCCTATATTGAATAGAAAAACTTGTTTTCATATGCAGGGAAGTAAAAACTACAGACGATATAACATACTCATTTGAAATAATTAACTATCGTACAAAAGATTGTGGCTGTGTTCAAAATACATTATTAAAGAAGATATAGATTAAAGGAAATAGATGAATGTTAAAGAAAAAAAAATACCTCTAGTCAGCCTAATGGTGACCAACGTCCATTTTACAAATTAAAGAGGTGTATGAAAGACAGAAATTGTTAAAGAAGGGAATAGTTGAAAACTTACATCCTGAAGAGTTAAAAAAAATCTCATTTGGGATTAAGGCGCAGTTAACCGCAAGCCCGCCAGGCAGCGCTGCTTTGCGGGCATTCCACTACCTGTAAAATAAAATATCGGTCGCTAAAAACTTTTTTATATAATAGATAGATTAAAAAAATATCCGTCTTCCATCTACAGACAGTCGCTCAAGATAAAATGAACATTATAATTGCATTTCTGACAGCGTAATCTCAGCAACATGTCAATTTAGAAATGCATATTATTCAAAAATCACTTTTTGCTTCTTAACTGTTATTCAACTATTTGTTTGGTCAAAATAAGATCATCCCCCCAATTATCAACAAATGGCTATGAGATACACCACTAGTTCAATCTTTCATTAGTTGACCAAAGATAAAATAGATCCTCGGCAACAAGGAATGAATTATTTGATATGGAAGATGAGGTAAACAAGAAGGATCGATATATAATATAAGGTAAACAAAAAGAATCGATACATAAGATAAGGTAAACAAGAAGAATCGATACATAAGATAAGGTAAACAAGAAGGCTGTGACAACACCGTGACGAAGGAGAAAGGTCAGCGCTAGATGGGACAATTGCTCGCGACAAGTGGAAGATGGCTGCCATCCGGCAGCTTTCGTCTCAATCATCGCCGCTGTTTTGTATCATGTTCGCAGGTTTTGTATTGGTCGAAGAGGGCATCTAAGGAACGTCCTCATTCAACCTCTTAACCGATCAGTCATGAATGACACTCACAAGACTGAAGAGAATTGCTTCAATAATTAGGGCTATTACACTTTCAGTGATCTGTTCCAATAGCAAATCCAGGATTTAATTTTGGGGGTGGGGCTTCAACCCGAAAGCTTTTTTTTTTCATATACATATAACGATAATTAATTTGAAAAAGATTAGAGAAATTAATTACCTATATGAAATGGTGTTTAAGTGGTTCTTGAAGTCCTATTAAATATAATTACACGAACAAGAATACTTTAAGAGATAGTTTTTAATATTTTTTTCTGTAAAACCTGGTTACATTTTACCATTTTGGGGGGAGGCTTCAGCCCGAAACTCCTCCCCCCGTAGATCCGCCTGTGGTCTGTTCTATGCTTTCTTCTTATCCTCTAGTTTGGAACTTTTCATTTCAAAAATTCGTAACTATATGTGCTCCCCTCAAAAATGTTAATGGAGCCACGAAACTCCATTTTGGGCACCCCTGAAAATTTGTAAAATCTATTCCGATTTTGACTAAAACATTACTGTAACATACCAGACATTTACGTACCTTAAATACTTAATTTCAGTTTCGTAAACTTGAACAGACGGTTCACAAATAGATACAGACATAGTGTTATGAAATTTATTACTATTATTATTACTTATGAAAATTACTGTAATATTACAAACCATAAGATCACAGGTTGGGGGCTTGAGAGGGTAGAGATATTTTTGGAATACATCCTATATAAGTATATCCAATATATAATACATGCCTATAGAAAGAATTTCTATCTCAGGCAGGTAATGAATTGTTTTAAAACTTTTTTTGATGACAAAAAAGTCATACAAATACTTTAAATTAAAACAATACAGCATTTTAATAGACGATTCCTTTTATAGTTTAGGTGAGTTTATGAATCCACGATAGGACACCGTCAAACAAATTCAACTATACCTACTAGTAGATAGATACAATCCTTTGAAATGGAATTGTAATGCACATGATCGATATGTTCATGAAGATCATACTATAGCAATTCGTTGGGAGGGCTGAGCCCCCACTAAGGCAACATTGGGGGAGGGAGGGGGTTCAAATCCCGTGAGCTGTTAGTAATCGGCTTCTTTACACACAGACCATTTTGTTGAATTTGTTTATTTGGACTCAGGTCACCTCGAAACGTGTATTTCCGTTGAATACTCAAATTCGAAAATTTTCACGATCGCAATACTTTCCTTTATTGTTTATTTAATGTATAGGAAAGTGAAAGTAAAAATTCAATGTCTTGGGGTGCCTAATTATATCTCAAAACATTGATTTATCTTCTTAAAATAATTTTGGTTTATTATTTTCAATAATGAAACATTGTGATCGACCGAAAAATTCAAAAACATAACCCCCTCTCAAAATTTGAGGTTTAACGTTTCAAGATGCGTAGAATTCGAAAAACGAATAAGAATTTTTTTGTCCGTCCGTCGTCCGCCTTCCGCGCTTTTTCTCCGAAACTACTGGACCGATTTTTTTTCAAATTTTGATATAAAATCAGAGGTAACCCGAGGATGATCCTCCTTCATCGACATTACTCTCCGTCTTTAACTTTCAAAATGATTTTTTTAGAGTTTATGAAATTTTATAAAAAACAAAATAAAAAGTTAAATTCGGACAATTAGGAGCAAAGATATAGTCTCTGGTTTGTTTTTATGTGTTCTACTCCAAATGTTATATCCTTGGTTTGGTTTTCAAATTTTAAATGTGTTACTGAAATAATGCTATTTTTTTGTTTAGCATATTACTAATGATTAAAGAAAAACAGTTTAGTCCTCTAGCGGATCCAGGATTTAATTTTGAGGGGGCTTCAGCCCGAAACCTTTTTTTTTCATAAAATTAACGATAATTATTTTGGAAAAACAGAAAGAAACTAACTACCTATATGAAATGGTGTTTAAGTTATTCCTTAAGTACTTTTAAATGTAATTACACGAACAATAATACTTAAGAGGTATTTTTTAAATTTGTTTTCCCGTAAAACATGGTTATATTTTTCTATTTTGGAGAGGGGCGGGGGGACTTCAGCCCGAAAGCCCCCTCCCCATAGATCCGTCCGTGGTTTAGTCCAATAATTGGAATCACCTTTTGTTTTGTTTTCTTTGTAACTCGGAAAGTAATGTTACTTTAGTTGTATAATTGTTTAGAAATAATAAACCATTGTGAAATAATTTGCAGCGTTTTTTTGATTTGTCCGCTCAATCAAGTAAATGTTTTATTCTTAGACTAGTTGTTAAAAACATCGTTTCCTTCTCTCAATGTAGTAGTTAATTCATTTTCCGAAAACAGGAGTTAACGTTTGCTAGACTTAAAGTATCAAAATTTAGGTCAGACTGTACGTAAAAAGTTACAGACTAAATCCTGTTCATTTTTAGACTTTTGTCCCACTAGATTCGCAATCGGCCACGTTCTGCATCTGCAACCGGTTAGCAGCGAAATGGAAAGATCCCTATTACTGGGTCCCCCAACTACTCACTGGGCACGACAGATTACAATTATTTTTTTTTAAGAAGAGTAAGAATATTGGTCCCATAATTACAAACATGTATCGTTACTGAGGTTTGTGCTCTGCAGCAAATACGCTTATTTTCTATAAGGCATTGAGCAATGTTGAGAGATGGTTGATTGTAGTGAATAATTGAAGAGAAAGATGGTTGGGGTGATCAGGCAAAATAATTAATTGTAAAAATAAATAATTATATTTATTTGTTTAAAAGGGCGGTTATTTTAGAGGGAGCGGCTTTCGGGCGAAAAACCCTCCAAAATGGTAAAATATAACTATGTTTTATAGAAAAAAAATATTAAAAAACATTTCTTAAAGTATTATTGTTCGTGTAATTACATTTAATAGGACTTCAAGAATCACTTAAACACCATTTCGTACAGGTAGTTAGTTTCTTTCTTATTTAAAAAAAAAATTAATTATCGTTGTATACGTGAAAAAAAAGTTTTCGGGCTGAAGCCCCTCCAAACTACTGACGATCAACGTAATTATACAACCCATAAATTCTCTCAAGCTTGCGGTAGTTTGAATAGGTTGGTGGAATCGGAGTTGTTTGGATGAGTTTGACGTATGGAGATTCCAGAAGTTCCAGAGAGAGGTAGCACGAATGACGAAGGATTTACTGAAGAAAGTGGTTTTATGGGAGGGTATATATAAATATGTAGGTTAAGATCGCATTTGGGATACACTACTGAATTTCGTTTAAATAAATCCAATATAAGATGGATAAAGGATTTCAAGGTGGGAATGAAAAGAGGAGCTGACGAAACAACTAGGACTTTTCTACATTAAATATAACGATGTGACCTGATGTTTTTATTTCTAAGTAATATAATATACATTAATGTTTATTCATCAATTAATAATACAATTTATAACAAATTCAGTTTAAATCTGAGTGAAAAATCATTGCTAAGACATCGTCCCAGAACTCCTCCTCGCCAATGTCATCAACGATTATAGTCCTCTTAGTAGAAGGGCCTTCTATATCGTTGAAGGCGATCTTGGGATAATAATCACCGACAGTTACCCAGTCTTGCCCCAACGACCTGCCGAAAATAGATAACAATGAGAAAACGACCAACAGCTTTAGTTCAACAATTAAGATTATAAACTCACCCATTGGCTGCAAATGAAACCCACATATCCACCATCTCTTTGGACATCCTAATATCTGTTTCAGAAGTGAAGTTTTTCGATAGCGGCGTATCTGTTAAGTAAAGCGCGTCGTCTCCATGACTCACCCCTAAAATAGAGAAAGACTTCGTTATCTTCTTTCAATGTGTAATTATATTATATTTGAGGTTATCGTTGCTCTCTTAAGATTTCCTTTGAATAAACCTTAACTAACAGATTTAAAAAAAGAAATGAATTATATAATAAAAACAATGATCTGTATAATATTTAACAAAACAAAACCTGGTATAAGAATTTACTTATTCAATAACAACAAATAATAAAGAGAAAAGATAAATCAATTTAACACTTTATTGATAATATCTAATATAAAATAAAAATGGACAATAAATGAAAATAAAGATAAGTTCTCTGAATAAAAAAAACATAGGTTTGTGTTTTAGATCACACGATATAAGTGAAAACATCAACAAAGCGAGATTAATAATATGAAATGCAAATTATAAATAATAGTTCATTATAAAGATGATGATCCCAGTTCTTTTAATAAAGCTCGTTATAATTTGGGGTTCGACATTATTTTTTCCCTTTTCGCTTCTCTAACACGGCGTTGCGTTAAGATACAATTTTGAATAATAGCTCATTACAAAGAGGATGAAATTATGAATATTTCCCTTGCTAACAATCTACATGTCCGATTTTTAGTTTTTGAGATATTTTAATCCATATGCAAAAACACTTCAATTAGCCAACTCCAGTCGACTTTACCCGTGCGTTACACATCGAAGATCTGACGGCTCAATCTAATTCACTCTACACAAAAAAAGTGCAAAACGAAGTTCTCACTAAAGAAGTTTTCACTTCAAAAAAATGAATAAAAGAAATGATATTTATATCTCTATGAAACTGTCAATTTAATCAACCTAAAATAATACTAAAATAAACAAATATATATATTTTAGAAATATATTAACGATTATTTAAAGCTAAATAAAACAAAAACATCAAGTGCGCAACACATAACTTTCATTTACCGCTCTACTTTGAATAGAATATATTTTCTGGCAATGTTAAAATATTATAACATTTTTAAAGTGCATTTTAAACGGAGTTAAAGCTTAAAGCTTACAGATAACACATCATTAACAGCATTATAATTACAAAAAATCATTGTCAGTAGGCAATAAAAATCTAGTCACTCCATCTGCTTTTACAAACCACACAGCTTCAGTGTCTGTGCCTTTCAGTTGACAGAATGACTAACTCCAATTTCAACATTTTTCAGTAATGTCATTTTAGTGATATTTCTAGTTGAAAAAGTTATCTATACAGTGAGTAAGTTGATTCCAGAGTAGGTTATTGCAGTGTTGAAATATAGAACTGTAAATAAAGGTATGAATTTTGCCACTATAAACATCACTAAAATTAATAAATAATGAAGAATGTTGAAATTGGAGTTAGTCTTTCTGTCAACCGAAAGGCTCATATATGCTTAGAGAGATTTGAAAGTACATCTGAATATTTAACCAATAAATGATTATGGCTTGTAGGACTATTAGTAACTAAACTGTTATTTTTAATTGTAAAGTTTACTGAAACAAAATTACGAGATTTTCATTGCCTGCCATGGATAGGTCAAAAGTTGTCACACTAATTGTAAGTGGATAATGTTGGGATTTCACAAAGTGAATATTTATCAAATTATTCACTAATTTAATTTTCTAAAAGGTTGCTTGATGATTTTTTGGAATAAACGGCCAATAGATACCTAATTATTAAATATAATATCAGATCTAGAGTTGTTAAACTACAGTAAATGTATTTAAGGTTATAAACATATCCCTCAAATATTTTTATATTTCACTTCTTCTTTCACACATGTACAATGAAATAGTATTATAAACAATGGCATTGGCTTGATTCGGTGGATTTTAAATACTTTTTTACTTTACTTAGAAAAAAATTTAAAAGTTTTCATTTAGTAAGAAAATTTCATTTAATATCTTTGGAGACATTTGATTTAAATTAAATAATATTAGTTCTCTGAAATTATTATTTATATTTTTTTGTCATTATCTCTTACCTTCTACAACTTTATTTATTTGATATTACGTTTTCTAAAATTCTCTGCTTTCTAATGATATATTATACGTATACATTCTGACTGTTATTGCCAGAGATTAATTTTCAACATGAGTAAGCATTTTTCTCCAGTTTCCAATTATCATATTCTTTCAAAAATTATATTTAGCCATTTATAGCTATTGTCATTAAAAGAGAGTTATTTTTTTTAAATAATCCATATTATATGTACTTAAGATGAAGACATATACGAACATTGGGCATTCAAGCTCTGTAAAGTGACATCAATGGGAATAAGATCTGAATGGTATTGAAGACCACTTAATTATACAATGATACACCAAATTTAATCAAAATCGTTTTCGAAAATTGTATCAATGTGTTCCACCATTGATATAAACCGGCACTTCCGGTTAGTCGATTTTAACGAAAATGTTGCTGCCAGAACTATATAAAAACCTTAAATGCGCAATTTAAGTTTCGTAAGACTTTTAGTTTTTGAGCTAAGCTGTTCACATACACAAATACCATTTTTCGGGATTTGGTTATTATTGGGTCTCAGGGAATCTCAAAACGTGTATTTCCTTTGAAAAATTAGATTAAAAAATTTTTACGGTCGCAATACTTTCCCTTACTATATATTACATATATAGCTAAGTGAAATAAAAAATATATTTGAATAACTCGTTTAAGTGGCCGCTCGTAGGTGATTAGTAGAAATGTTCCAACAGGTGGCGATCCTGTCTTCTTATGGTGACTTCATATAGATAAGTTATGAACACTTCCTGGGGCCTAAAACTTAAAACTATGCACTTGTATAAAGTTAATACTATAATACACTTACTATAATTACTATAATATACTCCATAAATATGGAGCCTGTTAACTAAACTACAACTAAACAGTATATTAATAATCAATACAGCTGAGTTAATTTTTCTTTTTTTTTTATACATTTAAACTTTAAAAACTTAATGAAAATGAAACAAATCAAAGTTATTAATTACAATAGGAAATTTATTTAAAATAATGAATTAAAGAAATTAATGCTGCGAGCGTTAACAAAGAGCAGGGATCTTTAAACTATTTCGGCCCAAGGAAGTTTCTTTTATAACATGGTAAAGTTTTAAAAATATGAAATTTAGCAAATTACTCAAACACGAGGCTTCTACAACAGTTACTTCATGAGTTGTTTAGCTTAAAATGCTAATTTCATAAATGAAGTGTCATTTATAGAACAAGAATTTTTCAGATATCAGTCTCAGATGTCAATACTGAGCTACTTTTGGCTAATCAGAAATCAGCATGCTCTGGTTGATCATGAACCCTTCAAGTAGCCAAGTTGTACTACTACCTAATTAACTAAAGGATTGGTAAAACTAATCTACTATTTATGGAATTACATCTACAGTGTTATCATGTGGTCTTGGTCCCACCCTTCATGTTGGAGTGGTACTCGTGAAGTAGTTCCAAACTAACAATCAGGTCTGATATGAATTCGATGAATGAAAAAAAAAAACTACAATTGAAAATCAGAGTTAACAATAAAATACGAATACTTTTTATCCTGATCTTTTTGATTATCATATTATTTAATTTTTATATTTGATTCTTACTGATAGGTTTTAAACTAAAATATTAGATAAATTGTTTAAAATGGTGGTCAGTAAATTATGAATTCTCTTACCCAAGTCATCATCAGTAAATAATTCAGCAATCGAATGGTCTCCTCTGTATGAGAATCTGTAAACGTACACTGGAGAGCTGTTTAATGCTGCCTGGAGTTTGGCGAGCTTCCCAATTTTATGCAAAAACATGCAATCTCCAATCAACTAAAAAATAAATTGTAGTATGTCACTAGATTCATTGGGGAACATTTATCTTAGATAATAGCAATATAATACCAGTTCTTATTGATCTCACTGCCCTGTGTCAATAGCTACAGATTCTTAGGATTAACGTTTGACAAGCGTCTGACGTGAGAACATCACTTAAAATTGCTGCAAGAAAACTGCCTAAGAAAGCTCAACATACTAAAATTCCTCAGCGGAACCAGATGGGGAGCAGACTGTGCGACTGTGCTTAGGGTATGCCAAGTTCTAATATGCTACAAGATGGATTATGCTAGTTTTATTTATGCTTCCGCCCAAAAAATTACACTTAAACAGCTCGATACAGTACACTATACCGGTATAGGAATCGCAACCGGAGCCTTTAGAACTAATTCATCACTAAGCCTCTGCACAGAATCAGGAATACCTCCGCTATCATTGCGTCGTGACAAATTAGCCATTGATTACTGTACAAAACTATACCTGCTAACTGATAAATTCAGGCATTGCCAGAACATCATTTAATTTTCACTGACGGATCCAAATCTGACTCAGCAACTTCATCAGCTTTTGTGACCAAAGATACCACACATAAAATGAAGTTACATCCATTCAGTAGTATTTATTCTGCAGAGATAAATGTCATTGCTATGGCCCTAGAATATTCATCTACATTGCCTGACAAAACTACAGTAATTGTTTCTGATTCCTTAAGTACTCTAAAGATTTTAGCAAACACGTATTCCGATCATCCAGGAATTCAACGAATATTTGAAATGGGAATATTTATGACTGATAACGGGAAATCAGTTAACTACATATGGTTACCTGGACCTGCTGGTATAAAAGGCAATGAAATGGCCGATAAAGCAGCAAAAGATAAAGAAGCACTCTTGCTCCCAGATCGCGGTAGGACCCTGCTAACACCATCAGATCTCTCACAGCCACTTAAGGAGAATATCCAAAAGGAATGGCAGAATGGGATAAGATTGCTCCAAGCAAAGTGAGTCTAATAAAGAAAGATGTCAGACCTTTGAGTTCTTTTAGTCGCAGAGAGGAAGTCGTCCTTGCCCGGCTTAGGATAGGACACTAATTGAGATTGACCCACCTCCACCTCATCACTAAAGTCGCACCAGCTAGATGTCAGTATTGCAATAATTTCCTGTCCATAACTCACATTTTCAAAGATTGTCCATTTTATAGTCGTAAATTAAATGACTTCGATATATCACAAAATATATCACTAGCCTTAGGAAACGATAGCAATAGAACTGAAAAAATAATAACATTTCTAACAATGGTAAATTTAATGAAAGAGCTATAATAATAATTTATATTTATCCTTTTCTTTTATTTAATTTGTTTTCCTTAATATATAAATATATTACTTTTTTATTTAATTTTTTTCCCATTAAATCTACCAGCTAAATATTTGAATAATAATATTTTATGGATAAGGCACTGATGATCTAGACATTTTGCGCATATAACATCAAACTTAAATCCACTTCTTAATAGAAAACAATGATAGCATTTTCAGAAAAACTAAATTTACTATTAGTATGAATACTGATACAGTATATAATATACAGTACATAATAATCAATACAGCTCTAAAAGTTTCCAGTTTGATCAAGCTTCTTAGCATAAATCAAACATATAAGATGATAAATGAAAGCTACCTCAGCTTATAAATTAAATATGTCAAAAGAATTAGTTTAATTTCAACATTCCTGGTTTATTAAATTGTATTATACTGTCTCTGAAAAAAAATAAATATTCTGTATTATTCATATTTAAAAACTTTAGATAGTTCACATGAAGTACTGTATATTTTACTTTTATTATTATTAGAGTGATTCTCAAAAGTCCTACTAAACTAACTCTGTTTATGGTTTTATTAATTGGTTTTGTATATATATACTATTATTGGAGCTGTAACTCGATGGTGTTGGTTGGTTGTTTTGATGTTATAGGTGTAAAACATTTAGGTCATCAGCGCCATATCCATAATAAAATAATAATAATAATAAGGCTTAGCGAACCCGATGGTTCGTTGCCGACACCACCAATCGCTTGTTACACACCTCCCTCCACCGTTCGCCGTCCAAACCCAGTTCCTTCAGATCAGCTTTAATGCAATCTTCCCACCTTCGCTTCGGTCTACCCCTCGGACACTTACCATTTGGCCATATCCATAATATATTATTACTATTAAAATATTTAGCTGGTAGGTTTAATAGAAAAAAAATTAAATAAATAAATAAGTAAAAATAATAGATACAAAATACATACATATAAAAAATAAATAAATAAGATAAGAGGGAAAAAGGTAATATATATATATTTTTTTTGTTTTTCCATAACTTGAGGCTTCTTGGGGCCTAAATGAGTAGAGAGAACATGGTAAATGGATATATTGCTGCTACATGATGTAGATAATTTAAATTCTGTCACATTTTCTTTATTTTGGTCTTAATAACTTCTTTCTGGTTCCACCCTTACAAGTAGTCTAAATAGTTAGGATCGTATTTTAATATTGTATAGCTAAGACCAATATTGTTTATGCAGATATTTATAAAACTAAATGCAGTAAATTTAAATAATTTAGGCTTTATTACTTCTCCAATCATCGATTAATTCATGTTTCACAACGATGTGGGAAGATCTCAAGCTATCTTCAGGTCAATTATTTACTATTGTGGAGCTAAGTTGTAATTTTATTTTTACTTTCCTTCCTATAGGATGAAACTTTCCTTTAATGTAGTTTGATGAAACTTTGTTTAAGTTTGATGAAACTTTCCTATAATGTAATAATAATTGTCCTTTAAATTTTCGTAAATCTACTAAATTCTTGAAAAATTCAGGAAAAAAGTTATAAAGAAAAGAAAAATGTTTTGGGGCCCAACTTGTTCAGTATATATTCCGTGGTAAAATTTATAATAAATTCTTGAAAGGTAGTTAAATTTCCAACAAAACAAAAAAAAAATCGTTCATTTCGGACAATTATTAACGATGTTACAGCTATTTAATTTTTAATGTAAAATTACAGGTTCCTATCCTGGTGTCAGAAAGGAGTGAGTGAAAGAGAAAAAAGATGACAATGTGAAAGTAAGAAAATCTGTTGCCCGCATCACACAAGCTTCACTATTTTCTCCACTTTTAACAGAAATTATTGTGTGCCAAAATTATGCTTTGGTAAAAAGTTTTTGATCAGAAATATTAGAGGGTATTGAAATTTTACACTGACCTTCCTTTAGCCCTTTTACATTGCTTTAGTTTATCTAATAAATCATACTCAAATCTTTTCTTTGATCAATTTTCAGGACAATTAATGTAATTCATTTTTTTTTTGTTTCTTAATGGACATATATAAAGATATAAAAAGTTTTCTGAAATAGGTAGGAAAATCGTGTGAGTGGACACACCAGATTTTTTATTTAGGATTTTGCACAATATCTATGGATTAACTCCACAATAATCAATAATTAATGTGAAGATTGCTTAAGATATGGTTGAAACATTAAGAAAGATTTTTCAACATAATAAGATTCCAAGTTTCATTTTAAATACTATTTGAGGTTTAAAATCATGAAGAGATTTTAAATTGGTATTATCAACTTGAATATTAAAGCTGAGTCATTAGAAAACATCAAAATTTTAATCAATTAATTTTAATTTTTTTTTTGCTTTGAAAACATCTTGTGAGTTTTTAGAGTAATTAAAAATGAATTTATCCTGGATAAAATAAATGGTTATTGTTTGAGTCAAGAATGAAATTTAATTAAATGGTAATGAAACAATTAAAATAAATTAACTTACCTTTATAAGACTTTCTTCTGAACTTTTATCAATGTTATAATATTCCTTTATCTTTTGACTGATCATTGATCTGTTGGAAGGAGGTATTAAGTCAGCTGAGAATAGAAGAACGGGCAAAATCTCATCCCAATTGTCCATCAATTCATTCAACCAGTCAGTTTCTCCATGTAGAGCTGTAAAATAAATATTTCTAAATATTAATTAGTAATATCAAAAACACAAAAAGAAGAAACAATTATTAATTTCGGGAATATATCTCCTGTTTCCCTTTTCAATATTTCATCCATCATTACAGCTGACTCCATCAGACTCGTAAATTAATATTAATGTATGTATTGGATTGTATGACGATATGTATTGAGTTATCTTGGATCGATGTGTTGAATCAGTGGATATTTTTTTTTTTTTTTACTATTATTATGAATTGTGATGTGTTTAGTTCTGTATCAGGTGATGCTCTGCAGACCACTCGGGTTCCACATAACCAATATAATATGAAAACATTAAAGGATTTAAAAGCTATCAGAAGTTAAAAATAATGCTGCTCTTAGGAGAAAATCAGTTCGGAGATATGAATTTATGTTATATAATTAGCATTATAGCGGGAAACTAAGATTCAATGTGCTTTATTATATAAAATAATACCATTTGTAAACAGAAATTATGTGGTGATAAAATTTATGCTAGGCCAGCTAGTTGTTATAGTTCTTAAGTATTTGATTAATATTAAATGCATAATATTATCAATTGTTGCCCATTGTATATATGTTTGTATCATTCTTTTATTTGTCTGTGTATTACCTACCCTTTTGCAATTCTGTTACGTAATTATGTGTTGTGTGTTCTTGTATCATCTGTTTGTTTGGATATATGTATGCAAACTCGGTGATGTCGTCTTACGATAAAAGTAAAACACAGAATGAGATTCTTTAAACAAAAGTACTAAAAACGATAGCACCAAAAAAAAAAAAAAAAAATTATAATATTAAGAGAAAAATAACAGCGGACAAAGATAAGAGAATATAATACCTGCTCCAATATTCAGGCCTTCATCTGCTACAAATGATAACAGGAGTGGCATATCCAGAGCTTCTCTCTGCTTCAAAATGTTGATTGGTTGATCGGAAATAAATGCATTAGGGCCAGCGGGTTCAACTACAGGGCCGTATGAAAGAGAAGGCAATTTCCAAGGCTATTAAAGAAATTAGAAATTTTATTATATCAGTTCCTTATAATATCAGCTTTACTGAGAGGCAGAAAATGTCCTCAACATTTATTAATTTTTCTATTTTATTATTATACCTTTAATATTATTTTTCTATTTTATAATTAATATCTACACACTATTTTACCAATAATAATATGATTCACATTAATTAAATAAGTTATATAAATAAAAAAAACAGTGTTATTTTTAAAAACTTTTATACATTTTTTTGGATAAGAATTTCATTTGGCCTTGATGAGATGAAAGGAAAAAACCTGTCAGATGTCAATGTCTTTTATATATATTTAAGATATATCACTGATTATATTGTTAGTGCAAACGTTTGTAAGTAAAGTCTGCAGCTGCAATAAATAATCTGATACTATGGAAAACAGCTGACGTCAATAAAATATGAAATTTTACTAATAAATCATAAAGAAATAATCAGTTTTTATGCTCTTCTGTAAAAAAAATTAAATTTTTACTTATGAACTTTTGCACTAACAGTAGCGTTTTAATAATCGTAATAAAACAAATAAATAGATAAAGATAAATAAAAGAGTCGAGAAATACAGTATAAATAGAGGATTATTTGTTGAGTAATAATATGATGTTTTAAAAAAAAATTTCGTTGAGAAGTTGATAACTTCAATAACTTTTTTATAATTTTTTCCCCAAGGATCCTGATATATTCAGGGGTATTCCAAATTATTTTAACCTCCTGATGTAAAACAGGAGCTCTTTTAAAATATTATCAACGTCTTGTCACATTTTTAACTCCAGGGAATGGCTTCATTTGTTATAAGGTGGGGGTGTGTGTCAGCCAATGACTACTCCGTGACTGCTGCATTGGAGCAGCTTCTTCAGTCTTCTTCCTTTCACAGCTTCCTGCTTGACTGTTAACGCTATTGACTGCCTAGGTCCTAGTTCGGATGCTGCAAGAAAGCTTTACTGTGCCTAAGAAAGACAAGAGTTTTTGCTCTGTCAATCATTTTCTTTTTATGGTGGTGGACTTGTTATTCATGGTTTTTAGAGCAATTAAAAAGTCTGATACCACCATAACATTTGGTTTAACCATCTACATAAAGTATCGGAAAGCCATTGCAATTGAGACACTAAAAGATGATGTATTTTATAAAATCTGATTGTACGGATGTATCCTTTTATTATGTTATGTTTGGTTAAAATTGGTCAAATATCATATTCTTTGTATCAAAACAAACCTTTACTCTCAAAATGTTTCTAGTATACTTGGGATTTTTCATATTTATCTTAAATACCCATAAAATTGGTTTTCTATATGATTTATGTCAAGACAGAAATATTTTTCCATGTATTGAGATACGGATGGAGATTGAAATCTTAAAGGTGACTTTTCATTATGCAGTTAGCTTGTTTACTTTATTTTTTTTAAATATCAATTTATATTATTTTAAATTTTATTATTTAAATGTAAATAATTAATCTTCTGCATGCTTTTTAAACTTTAATATTTTGTTGCTTTTAATGAATTAACTAATTTCCTGTAAAGAATGATATTGAAGAGTACCCAAAAACGCCTCGTGACGTCGACTATGTGCTCTGCAGGTCTACTACTCAGGCACTTCACCATTAATGAGGTATCGTTTACAGGGCAGCCGAGTTCGTTGGCTACGGTGTGTGCTCTATATTTAGGACTTTGATCGATGGCCCAATAATTCAATGATGCTCCACTCATGCACATGGCACCTTTGAACATACCTGAAAAATAAACAAAACAACAGAGAGAGAGAGAAACACTTTATTTTCATAAAATATAAAATATAAAGTGTAATAATAATAAGTAATAGTATGGAGATGGTGGACTGTGATTATAATTGGAGGAGTTGGTCGAGGTGAAGTTGAATTAAATACTATTTATTATAATAGTATTTTATTGGTTACGTGACGTTTAGACCCACTTTGTAGGTCTTCATCAGGGTTACAAAATATAAATTGGTAGAAACTAAAAAATGAAATAAATGAATTATTAGTAGATATTAAATAAATTTATTAATTATTAAAATAATAAATTTTGTTAAAATTTATTTTGTTAAATAAATTTTAACAAAATTTATCAAACCAATTGTCTGATAAATAAAGTAAAGAACTTATATGATGACATCAGTGATGTAGTGGGTTATAGTATAGTTAAAATATAATGCATTTATATACATATATACAAACAGCAAATGAAAATAAAGGTGTATTTAGTGTGTAAGTTAAATGTAATCAAATTTGTTAAAATGTAAACCAATAAAATACTATTATAATACATAGTATTTAATTTTACCGCAATCCCGACCAACTCCTTCTCATAATAATAAGTAATTTAAATAATAAATTTTAATTAAGTTACATTTATTTTATTATGATTGTAATACAATTTTAAAAGAATAAAAAACTCAAACTTTCTTCTTATGATCTCATTGATATCATGAAACTATCATGGTAGAACTTCTTGTTCGTAAACAAGGCTGATAAGTATGAAAAAGTCATGCCATGACGTTCAGTATTTGATGAATTATCAATCCCCTTACTCAGAATGATAAGATGGAATTATCAGTAACAGGTAACAACCAAGAAATTGAAAAATGTTGTAGTATTTTGATATGTATCTTTTGAGTCATGGAAAATACACAAAAACTTGAGGAATTAGATTTTTAACTGCATTTTAATACAATTTTCTATCCCTAGTGTAGAGAAGTAGTTTAGCTGATACAATACAAATAAATAATTTAAAATTTTGATATAAATGTGGAAGTAAAAAAAAATTACTAATGGTTCTCAACAATTAAACCCATGATTAGTATATTTCAAACTGAACCAATTTAATTAGTTTATCTTTCTTCATTTATGATTAATGAAAAGTCATAAATAGATTGTAATTTAACATATTAAATTTACAAATATAAATTTGTTATATTAAATTTGCAAACATAAATTTACTAAATTAAATTTACAAACATAAATTATTGTGAATTACGATAAAATTATTAAGATGAAAAAGTATTATATTGTATAAAAGTATAAAAAAAGATAATTGAAGGATCCCATTCAGTAAACTGTATTGAAATACAATTTTTATTTTTAAACATAAATAAAATAAGTAATTTTTTAATATCAATAAATAAACAAATAGTAAATAAAATTTGTCTTCAAAACGAATTAACAGGTTCTGAAGTAAAGGAAATAATGTTTAATACTATTTAAATTAATTAACTTCAACTTTGGCCAAACAGTATTAGTAGATACTGTATCATGCCCGGTCTCCGAAACCACTGTTGAATTTTCAGGAGATTACTTGTTTAATTAAGCTGCAAATAACTCACACATTGCTACTGCATTAATCTTTTTTTTTACTTAAATTTAAACAAATTTCAAAAAAATAAAAATAAACAAATTTTTTTACTTAAATTCTATGGTAATTCGCAATAATCACATCTTGTCGGAAGTAAAATGAAAGCTAATAATGGCCAACCACTGTTATATTGGATGGGGACAACACTTAGGAAGTAACCTAGTGTCCTCGCATTCCACAACTATAAAATACAAGAAGTTGATCTGCCACATCATCTTTTATGAACCTTGAACCTGGACAACTACCAAGGCTAAAGATTATTCACTCCTTAATTTGAAAGGCACAGCTTCTATCAGACAGAGATGGGCAAATGCTACTGTGAATACTGAGTACCAAGTATTTTACTCAAATACTGACCTTTTATGAGTACTGAAGAATTTAATTACTACTTCAGCTGATGTCAAAATCTTAAGTGGTTTGTTTATTTACCGACAAGAAAATAAGAATTCTATTAAAATCATCTTACTACCAGTGATCTGTGGCCAGTACTTTTTCTTTTTATCCTGCAATAATTTACAATAGTGATTCAATTTGAGTAAAATACTTGGTACTCGGTAAACAGAGTAGCATTTGCTCATCTCTGCTCTGGGATCTATGGAGTTTTATATTAGAATGGTTATTGGTATTGGAGATAAGAGATTTTGCAATCCAGATACAATGAAAAATGCCTGTTGTTTGGAAGTTTAGATAAAGTAGTTTCTGGAATCTTGTTGGTATGGCTCAGTGTAATAATAATATTAAGTAACTGTTGAATCGATCACAGTGGAGAGCCTAGATTTAAATGAGAGGATTATATAGTGAATGACAAAGGAAATAGGAACTAGTTTGCCTAGGTATAAGAATGGTACAAGTGAATATCGTTGCTGGAGGAAGTGGTTAAAAAATATCCCTTTATCTAAAATATGCTTTGCCCAGCAACCTGATAAATTGGATATTGCGAATTCGAATTCTGACACCAGGAAGACATTTTTTTAACTTTGGTATTAATCTCCTGCCCTCTTCCCAGAGCCAGAAAAAGTCCTTATAGCCGAAAAGTCAAGAAAGGGGATAATAATAATAATAAAAAAAAGGGTCTGACCTGGCTAATAGCTCTTGAAATAGCGGTTTTGACGAATATAATTGAAATAAATTTAATTTCTTAATAAAATAAATTGTAAAAATAATACAAACATATAAATTAAATAACAAGCTGCAAAAGCCTATATGAACAGACTTATTAAAAATATCTTTTTTTGATCTTTTTTGGCAAATTTCGGACTCTTACATAATCAGAAATTTAAAAAAATGTAATTAAAATATTTCAACTTTGTTTTAAGCATACAATACAAATTGAACTAAAAGTCCTATTCCTAACATAAAAAATATGCGAGTTTGCTTATCTTGAAACTTTTTAATCAAAACTAAAAGAATTTGTAAGAATGTATGAAGAAACAGTTGCGAGGAACAGATTATTTTTTAAAAAATTATCCTGAGCTATAGATTGGTAGTGACCTAACAACATACCTCTACTCAGCGGAGAAAGCGTATGGAGATGGCAGCAGGCACCGCCAGCGGAAATGCCCGCTAAGGTAACGCTGCTGGGGTTCCCTCCAAAGAACGCTATGTTCCCTTGAATCCATCTCAGGGCTAATGCTTGATCTTTCAAACCATTGTTACCGGGTAGAACATCATCCCCCATGCTCAGGAAACCTAACAAATTTTATCATAATTGTTAATTAATATATTTTTTCTTCGTTTAATTTTGTTGGCATATTCCAATTTGACAATTTTAAACTATACTTAATTTTTTTTTCCATCATGACACTCCTGTTGGCATTGCACCACCATAAGAACTTCTATTATATGAGTATCAAATATTTCACCTGTTCTTTTTTTTTTCTCCTGTTGTCATTTATTATAAAATCTCCATAATAATTTTGTTATTTATTGTTGTAGCCAGGAGCTATTAAACATTGACTTTCAATATTTAATAGCTCATTTAATAAAAGTTCTAATGATGGAGAAATGTTAACATGAAAGTGTAGCAATAGAAAAAAAATTAAAGGAAATTTATTGAGTACTAAATGATTGACTGTTGTATAATATTGAGAAAGGAGATAGTTCAGGTTGGCGGTCATAACAAATCTTAAAATAGTGAAAACTATTTTATTTTAGGCTAATGTTTCGACCCAACTATGCAAATTTTCCTCAGGAGAGTGATTGCCATGGAGTTTCAAACGAGGTTAGATAGTTTCAAATGAGGTTAGGCAATTTCAATCGAGGTCAGACAGTTTCAACCAAAACCCAATCCCGACCTCATTCCTGAAGAAGACCTGCATAGTTGGGTCAAAATATTGGCTTGAAATAAATTATTTTTCACTATTTTAATATTTTTTATGATTGCCACCTCGTACCATCTCCTTCCTGAAATGAAGTTTCAACTTAACAAATTGATCTATTAATGTTTCATGTATAAACTCCCCTGTCAGAAACTGAATCAGATGTTATTTTCTCAACCTATTAGAAATATAATGAAATAAAAAAATAAGAGGTTTATTACTTTTTAAATATATTTTTATATTACAAAAAAAAAAGTGTTTTGCAACCTCTTTTAATAATAATATGTTAAATTATAGAAAAGGATCACTTTCAGCATTTTGTTTTATTAACATTTTTTTACTCTCTACCTATAATTTATTAATTAAAATATGAGAAACTATGGTATTTAAAATTTTTGTTAAACATTTGAAATTAAATTAACTTCTAAATTTTTTTTTTTAATCTGAACTGACTAATCATATGCATGTGTTCTAAATAGCAAAATTCTTAAAATTTAAAATGTTTTTGATCAGGCAATTGGGGTAAACTTTTTCCTATTTAGCTCTTTATCATCTCATGGATTTTTACAGGTGTATTACATTATACTTTTATACGTAACTATCAAATCATAGTTTTCATCCTGACAGAAGCACTCAATCGATTCACAAACTTGGCTATGAAGTACATACTTGGGTGTGTACTAAATTTCAATTAAAAAAAGTAAGAAAAAAAATTGGATTCATTATATTTCTATTTGACAGAGAATGAATAGAAACTCCAGCAGATTTTTTATTTAAAAATATATAAATAAAGATACTGGTTGTCATGGGTACATTACGTTATGTTTATATAATAATATAATGTATTTTTTATTGAATGTGCACATTTTATAATTCTATATATTTCATTATTTTAGAAATCTAAACAAATGTAAACTATTTTTTCAAAAAATATTTTACTCACCTAATGCTCCGAGCCTGTAATTAAATGTAACGAAAATGATGTCTCTATCAAGAAGTATATTTGCCTTGTGAAAAGTTGATTCCATGGCTGTAAAGCCTCCGCCATGAATAAATGCTATAACATCTAGAGATTTTTTCTCTTCTCCTGCTTCAAAAGATAACTTAAAAAAAAAAAATAATAATACGTGTAATATACATGCTAAATCAAATAATGACATTTAGTATATAAAGCTATCTTAAAAGACATACACTTAACTAAATATTTCTTGTAATATTACAACTACTATAATTTTATTTATTAGATTTATTTATTTACCTACAAGAAAAAAAGAATTCTATTAAAATCATCTTACTACCATTGATCTGTGGCCAATACTTTTTCTTTTTACTCTACAATAATTTACAATTTTGTATATTTAGGTTAAAAGTTGAAATTTTGAATAAAATAAATAAACAAATTAATGTATAATACAGATATGTACAAAAACATTTACTGCATTAAAATTCTTATTTTTTACATTAATTCGTATTAAATATATATGTATTTATTGTTAGACAAATATTTTTGAAAAAGTTATAAGAGTAGTATTGAAATAATAATTGGACATTCAAATATTAAAAAAAAAGGAAAGAATTGTTTTAATTGAATTTTTTATTTCCTATCAGTTCATGTATGAAACCTTTTTCTGGCCACAGTAGATTCTCAGATATTCTATGATTGTATTATTTAGTTTAGTGTATTAATAGGATTAGTTAAATACATTTACAGAGAGAAAATTCTACTAAAAAAGAACTGTTTGTCTGAATAAAGTAAAATTATTTTGAATTTTGAAATTGAGAAAGCTTTAAATACAAATTAAACCAAGAATATTAATAGGCACTTTCTAAAAAAATAGACAATCCTGCCTTAATTGATGTACATAAGGACGCTGAGCCCAAACAAACAAGAATTATTGTTCTATCTCAAAAAATAAATAAGATGAATAGAATTAGTAAGGTACTAAATGGGATCTTTTTTCTCTTAAATTATCAAAGCAGGCACTTGATAAATATTGGAGCCCCATCATCCAACTTGTCAACAGAAACTTTCAACAGGGTGTGGTCTTACATCAGTTGCGTTTCATTTTGAATGAAAATGACATAAATCCTTATGAAAACAACTTATCATAAAACTAAATACCAGAATTTTTCGATGGAAGAAAATTATTAGTTTCTTGTGAGGAAAGGAACAATTCTGAACAATAGATTAGTAGAAAATAAATGCAGCAGTGAGGGGGGGGGTTATGTTGTATTCTCATAACATTATTTATCAATTGCATCACATTTAATGGTTCAGTTACAGTTGCAATATCACTTAAAGCCTATTATTATTTAATTTGATTACATTTTGAACATAAATTATGAGAAAAAGTTATTTTTGACAATCTATAGATTTAATATTTTGTTTTAGTTTCTTTTGAAAACAAAAGTCTGAGAAACTTATGTTCGAACTATCGAAGAAAATAATCAACACCAGTATTTAATGTTCATTTTAAACATTGTTAATGCTTTTATTCATTAAAAAATGATTAAATCCACATTTCTTTTTATATCTTATATTTTTATTTATGAGTAAATTAGTAAACATATAAGATATGGATGGAATAAATATAAGACAGGTGAAAATTACTGAAAACTGATAATTGTTTTGAACCTGATGAACATGCCATTTTTGAATAAACTTATGCTTTAATCTGGGAAATCAGTTTGTTTATATAACCTGTTACTATCTATATATATATATATATTACTTTCCCTAGTTTTACTTGTTTACATGAATTAGAATGTGAGTCAATTGGTTATTTACAAAGTTTGAATTTGTGGTTATGAAGTGTGATAAATATTATACCATTTAGCACACTTAATAACCCCAAAATAATGAATTATCATAATCAAGGTACAATGCTTATAAATCTTTCCTTTCATGTTCTGTGTTTTTAAAACTTTCAACTTTATCAATTTGTATTTTATAATATGAATAAATTGGATTGAATAATTTGTGCATAAAAAATCAAGTTAATAACATAGAGTTAAAGTAATCGCTCACAAGGAATGATTATTGAGATTTAAAAAAAAAAATCTCTAGATTGCCAATTATACTTTTAAAAAAAAATTGGAGTTCCTCTCTTACATTTCTTTTGTAAATTTCTTATAATTTCAGTTAGTAACATTGTATCACTTATTTGTTAAAACTTTGCATTGCATTACTGTAGTGTATAGAAAGCATAATGTAATATTTGTTTAAACTGATCAATTAATTTCTTAATACCTTAGGTGTATAAACATTTATGTAAAGACAATCCTCAGAACCAGTGATCTCTCCAATGAAGTTAATTTGTAGGCATTTCGATGGTTCTCTTGTTGCATTGAAAACGCCTATCCAAGGTCTGGGTAATGACGGTTCCTAAAATGAATTAAATATTTAACCTAATTTCAATTTCTCCAAGATGTTTGAAATAAATTATAATGAAGCTACTACCTTGAATCTGTATTTTCCTTGTGGAGGCTTTGCATAAGGTATCCCTTCGAAACTCGAATATAATCTGTTCCCCAACGTTTTCTTATAAAGACCTTTGAGAGCTCCTTGTAATACAGTCAGCTCGGGTTGGGTCGTTGCATATATCAGTGACAACGTACATAAAAGAAAGGCACTGAGAACTGTTATGTTTAACATGATTGACTCGGATTTAGAATTGTAATGTTGCTCTGACAACTCCTTTTATACTTGGGATTAAAGATATGAGGGTGACTAATGATCAGATCCAGTGTTGATTTCTCTTATCAGGTACTTATTTTCCCTTTTTCAAAATTAAAATAAACTTTTTTTCTTTGCCACTATAAGTCTTATTGAAATTTATTTTTTAAATTCCATACATTTTTCATTAAAAGAAAATGATTGAAAACCATATTTTTTTATATAATTTATTAAAGAAATTCCAATTTTTTTATATATGGTGTTTCCAGAGAATAAATTACCCTTCGGATTTCACCATTTATTTATGTAATAAACAACATTTGAAACCAATTGGCTCATTTTCAAGTTATCAAACTTTGTCGCATTCCTACAAGCTGCTATATTAAACAATTATATTGTCTCTTATAACCAGTCCAACAATAAAAAACAAACCTTGTTCCTAACATTTTGTTTGCATTTAATAAAATGCATGTCAATTTATAAATCTGATGCTAAAATAGAATTTTAATTTTTTTTTTTTTTTTTTTTTTTTTTTTTTTTTTTTTTTTTTTTTTTTTTTTTTTTTTTTTTTTTACTTGCCCAAATTTGATTTTAAATTACTTTTTTGTGTTAACTACAGGATGTTTTAAAAAGCTGCAGAGGGGGATTAAAACCTAACTGTAATCAGTGTTATGTATAGTAATAAATATATATATCATAAATGCCATAAGTTAAATGGTACATCATGTTAATAACTGTATTTGATATTACATAAACATAGAAAAATACATTTATTGTATTAAACTAATAATCTATGAAAATAGATTTTTAATTTTTTTTTTAATTTGATAAATCATTAGAACGGTTTTACTGTAAAGCACATTTAGAAAAAAAAAATGTAATATATATATGTAATATATATATATATATTACAAAAGGCTTATTTTTTAATGTTATCAGATTCAGGTATTTTTCGGGGATAATTTCCCTACACTATTGGCATAGTACAAATCTTTAATGAAAGATAACCATGTTCTAGGTGTTTGAAAAACTCAGAATGATAAAACAATATGACTATTCCCTATTTATATGTTTAAAGAGTTTAAACAGTCACACAATAAAACATCAAAAAAGGGAAACGTTATTTTTAGAATTTTATAAAGTATAAATTTATATATCAAAAAGAGACTTGATTTATTAATAACAAAATTGTTATAAGAAGAATGGACGATCTTTAGATCTAATTAAAGTAGAATTATTATTTGTGACAACCAATATTCTAAAACATATTGCATAATATTATATAGTGATGTATTCTTGTTAAAATTTGCCAGGCATAATCACAAATATAAATTTAGAAACTATTCAAATTAAATTGTTATTTCATGAATTTATGTAACATCAGATATGCAAATATTGATGGAAAGTAACGCTACCGTAATCAGCTGAAGAAATGGACTTAAATATTAGTCATATAAAATATTCTGTTTCATTATGCTGTTTCTTCAACTGTTTTGTTTTGCCTTGTCTGAAATTTCGCAGTGTCTAATATTTTGTTGTTTGTGAAATAATGAGGTAACGACAATATAAAAATAAGTTTAAACTTAAACTCTTTGAACACATAGTCCGTTGAACATATTTTTAACTTTCTTTCTAATGACCAGATATCAGTAGCTTAAAACCATCTTAAGACAATTTTGAAAAAATCCATTCAGTATTTTTTTTCTGTTAATGATTTCAAACGAGAAATGGGCTATATGTTTATGAAAATTTATTTATAGATTGATCCAAAAATAAAATTATTAAGAATTTCAATCAGCTACATAGTTTTCCTTATTTTCATATTGAAAAATGAAAGGGACTCATTCAAAAGAGATACTTGAATGAGTCCCTTCATTCATGAAGTTATTTAAATATTTGAACAAATTTTCCTTATTTTCATACTAGGAAATATTGACTTTAAAAAATTTTAAAATATTTTTTTCAAGTTTTTCCTTATTACTTAATCAACAGTCATCAATCAATAGGCTTAGATAATTTGAAAAAAAATAATTTTCTGTTTTTATCAACTTTTTATCTATCTATTTAAAATAAAGTATTCTTGTACTTATTAAATAATAAATAAAGTATACATAAAAAAAAGTTGTCCCTACAGTACTATACTACTTACAGATGTTTATGGTCTATACTAATATGAATGTTTATTATCGATGAAATTGATAAACCAGTGCAACTGTAGTGTTTATTGAATTAATTATTTAATTTTTAGAGAATATTGATTTTCTATGGAGAGGAGAGGAGGGAATAAAGTAAACGAAGGAAGGATAGCAGATCTTTGCATTTCAACATTAAGAATTTGATAACATTTCTTTATTTAAAAACAATATAATACTATCAATTATTTTACTAAGAATATATTTTTTTAGCGTCTTTAAGTATCATTAAATACACAACATCTATAATATTCCTTAGTAATTTAAAAAATATTTTACATTTTTTTTAAGTAAAAAAATAAATGAATTTTCACTTAAGTGCTATTTCACTGAAATAATATTTAAAAAATACAAAACTAACTCTTAATTATGAAACAGTCTCTCAAGTAACCACCATCCATGAAGATAATTGGAATCACAATTCATTCAAACATTCTTAAGTCACTCATTCATTCATAATTCGTCTCGACTCGCTTCTGACTTTTCCAAATTCTCCATCAATTTCAGCGAATCCCAAAATTGTTCTTCTCCTAGTTGCTCTTCTATTGTTGGGACCATTTTGTTTGGGCCTTGAATATCGGTGTATGCAATTTTTGGTAGGCTGTCTCTAACTACCTGGGCATTTAATTTCCTGAAAATAAAATGTAATTATTTCAAGTGTCTTAGCCGCAATACAGAATAACTGACTCTTTGACCATTTCAACTTACTTGTTTGCTGCAAACGAAACCCATAAATTTACCAATTCCTTCGAAACCTGCCTGTCTGCTTCTGTTTCTTGGGTGTTAACCGCCTCTGACCGCAGGATGTACATGATGTCATCAGCATGACTAACACCTTAAACACAAGTATCCGTATTTCTTACTAATATTGTTTCATCAATAATCAGTATTATAATTGTATACTCATCACTATAAGATATTTTAGTATCTTAGGAGCCATCATACTGCCGGTTATTATGTGATTAGAGTGGATTTGTTTTTTCTTATTGATTGAACATTGTATAAATTTGAATGTGTATATCTTCAGAATTATATTAATTTATTAACACATTCAGCTCATAAAAGCAAATATGCATTAATTGAAGTTTGTTGGAATTTTCAGTCAAAATACAAAGTAAAAATAGATAGATAAAAATGAAATATAATGTTTCATACATATAGAATATTTCAGATGGATATTTCATTTTTACTTCCACTTACCTATATATGTAATATACAGTAAAGAAAAATATTGTGATCGTGGACATTTTTTTTATCTGAGTTTTCAACGGAAATTCACGTTTTGAGGGGACCGCGAGTTCAAATAACCAAGTCCCGAAAAATGGTCTGTGTGTATGTGAGCAGTCTAGCTCAAAAACCAAAAGTTGTACGAAACTGATATTACGTATTTAGAATAGGTATATGCCTAAGATGTGGCAGCAACTTTTTCCTTAAAATCGGCTAACCGGAAGTGCCACTTTATATCAACGGTGAAACACATTTTTACGATTTTCTCAAAAACGGCTCTAACGATTTTGATTAAACTAGGTGCATCAGTGTATAATTAAGTGGTATTTATTATCATTTAGGTCTTATCCCTATTGATGTCACTTTACAGGGCTTAAATGCCCAATGTTCATATACCTCTTCCTCTGAAGTACCTTTAATATGGTTTATTTTAAATAATTAACTATCTCTCATTATTATGGGTTAAGAAAAATGCTAAATATAACTTTTGAAAGAATTTGATAATTGAATAAAGGAGAAAAAAAAAAAAAAATTTTTCAGTTCGAAAATGAATCTCTGGAATTACTAGTTAGAAGGTATACATATAATATATATCATGGGTGATAAATATTCAGGACGCATTCTTTTTTAAAATTTTTTTATTTTTGCCAACGTTCTATAATATATATCGTTGGAAAGCTGAGAATCTTAAAAAAAAAAAACAATCTAATATAGAAAGTTGTAGAATGTAACAGAGAGTGGCGAAAACATTATAAATAATAATTTCAGAAAATTAACATTATTTAACATAAATCGCATGTTTCCAATGAAATTAAATGAAATTTTCTTACTACATGTAAACGTTTAAATATTTTTCTAAGTTTGAAAAAAAGTATTTCAAATCCATCAAATCAAGCCATTGCCATTGTTTAAAAAGCTATTTCATTGTACTTGTATGAAACAAGAAGTGACATATAAAAAAATATTAATAGGATATGTTTATAACCTCAAATATATTTACTATAGAGTATTGATTCTAGATAAGATATTATATTTAAATAATTAGGTATCTATCGGTAGTGTATTCCAAAAAATCATCAAGTAACCTTCCAGAAAAATTAAATAGTGAATAATTTGATTAATTTTCACTTTATGAAATTCCAACATTATCCACTTACAATTAGTGTGACAACTTTTGACCTATCCATGGAAGGCAATGAAAATTTCGTAATTGTGTTTTAGTAAACTTTACAATGGAAAATAACAGTTTAACAACTAATAGTTCTACAATCCATAATCATTTATAGGTTGCATATTCAAATATACTTTCAAACCTCTCTGGGCATATATGAGCCTTTCGTTTGACAGAATGACTAACCCCAATTCCAACATTCTTTATTATTAATTTTAGTGATATTTCTGGTGGCAAAATGTATATCTTTGTATTTTGACTGAAAATTTCTGTTTGATTATTTATTACAGTCAACCATTAATCCACTATCTTTAATATATATTAAATATGATTTCTGCCTCGTTGGAAGGAAAGTTTATTCCATGGTGATTATCTTTTAATAAAGTTATTTAGCCCAAAGCATTTATGTTCTAATATGTCTCGTTGTGATCTATGAATCATTCAATTCATATCAACAATTCAGTCACGTTATCATAAATATAATTTATTTATTTTTACTTTGTTATTTGCTTGACTAAATACCCTAACCGACTTCTCTTCAAAATAAGATTGGATTTGCAGCTGATTAAAAAAAAACAATGTATTTACTCATATTTAAATTACTAAACTAAGGGAACTGTTTTATTGATATTAATCAAACCATTAATAAGTTTGTAGCCATTTTCATTTCCAATAATTAAGCCCACTGGTTTTGAATCACACCTTAAGAAATGTGAGAAATTTGACATTGGTTATTCTTGCATTATGCGTAATGATATCGTTAATAATGATTTAGTTGTGTGATGACAGAGGTATTTTAAAGTATCAATATTAAAATTTTACTATCAAAAATCAACATTTTTCTTTAAAAAAATAGATAATAAACAAAGAAGAAAAAATTTAATAAGAATGTTATCAAGGAAATCTGCCACACTTGTTAGCAAAGAACATTAGATTATTTTTAATTAACACTTAATTATTTTTATCACTATGCCTATTCTTGATTTAAATGATTTTTTTATATCTTAGTAATCATGTTTTTCTTTTTCGATTTCTGATTAAAATTTAAATTCCGTTAATAGGTTCCTATCATTATTAATTTAGTTTCATTATTTTTTTTGTCTTGAGCACTTTAATTAATTTTTCTCTAATTCATAGTAATCAGTCTTTTTAATATTAAATATTAATAATTTTATTGTTTTTTTTTTGTGATTCCTTAATTTTTTTCAGTTTCTATAATAACATTTTAATATATTTTTTTTTTGAGAAGAACTGTCAAAAAAGGTGTCAATTTATTACTCTTAATAAAATTATTTTTGTAACAAGAATATTTGTATTTGTTATTTGTTGCCATTAAGGCTGTTACAAATCTAATACTTCAGTTCTTTGTTAATCCTATTCTCTTTCTTTCAAGAATCAAAGACATGGAGGTCCGAAACATGGATATTTGGTGGTACATTTTCGATAACTATAGATATTATTACAGGAAGTAGAAAAGTGATCAGGTTAATGGAATATAGTGATAGGCAGATAAAAACTGAAATGAGGTGTGTTTGTTGTCGATAAATGATTTCACTGTTGGAGTTTTAATGCTTTATATGGTGTGATATGGAATACAACACAGTGTGTTTATAATGTTCCTACAAATTTTTGACTGTCTTGTTTGTATGAACTTGTTTTTACATAGTATTATAGATCAGTCACTTGTTTTGTAAGTTAGTGAGGGTCTGTGGTTCCAAATGATGTGATTGCTGATTGTATTGTTGTGTCAATTCTTGTCTTTTTAACTATTTCATAATGGTGAACTCGAGACAAAATCTGGTCCAGGCGATAGTGGACTCTTATGAGTCGAGAGCATATCGGGCTCATTCTCTAGAAATGATGAAGTGCTTAGTGATCAATTCTACTTTCAAACCATCTCACGGCCATTCCACCCATAAGGCAGTAGGTAATTATTTTCTGACTGGAGATAATGGCCATTTTGAACAAGTGATAAATAAAAATGTTGAAAAGTATTCCGTCCGTCCTGAAGAACACTTACCCCTCATCGTCACTAAAAGGTTAATTTTGGGTGTATCTTTTAAGAGACTTTGTTGTCCTAGTATAGTCTGAGGTACTATGCATACTTTTTTGAGGGCATTGGGTTTTTGTCAGTTGTTATAGTTGGACATGGAGCTATCCTTTGAGAAAAACTGACATGGTTTGATTTGGTGACATTTATTATTTTAATATTACATCTGTGAAACCACTTATCAAGATGCAGAGAGAATTGATAAAAATGCTACATTATGGTATGCCAGTGATGAAGATTTAATATTAAACAAAAATGCTATTTTTATTTTTTATATAATTGAATAAACTAATTCCCCAAGTGTTATTAATATGTTTTATTTAGGAAATGAGATTCCTAAAGAAAAATTACTTTGATTCATTCAATATCATGATTTCTTAGAATGTTTGGAATTTAAAATCATATAATAAGTTGATTGCGATAAGTTGACTGGCGCAGATACATTTTTATAGAAAAAAAAAATTTAAAAAAAATGTAATTGTTGTACTTACCGAGTTCTTTTCCTCCACCGAAAAGACCGGAACAGGTATATTTCCCCATGTAAGAGAACCTGTAGAGGTAGACCGGGGATTGGTAATATTTGCCATGCAGTTTTGCGGCTTTGCCGATTCCTTGTATGAATATCCTGTCACTCATTGCCTGAAATCATTATCATGTTCAAACTAAATCTTGTTAAACTAAAATTTAAATTCATAATAAGAATAGGAATTGACCCTTTTTTTTTTCTTTTTTCCCATTATCCACACACCTATTAATAACTGAATGAAATACATTTCATTGATGACTAACCTTGATTAGATTTGCTACCCCTTCCTTTGTGTCCAGGTCAATGTTGTAGTACTCTTTAATCTTCTGAGAAATCTCTGCTTTCCTCTTCTCGCATGGAACTGTATGATTGTAATCCAGCAAATGTGGAAGTAACTCATTCCAGCGGTTTTTAAGCTCGTTCAGATTTTCCGGTTTTCCAGCAATTTCTGTAATGAATTTGAAAAGTAATATTGTCTTAAGATCAAATTTTATTAGAACCTGTAGTTTCAGATAAGAATGTTTCAAGATAATTATACTATCAAAGTAAGAATAAGAAGCATGGTGACTTTCAGGAAGTCTCTCCCTCTACATTGAATCATTTCCTCTATAGTAGATGCCAAAATATAAGTTGGGAAAGAAACTTTCCCCTGTAAAAGTAATATTTTATATATAAATATTCAATGCGAGCAAGAGAGAAAACTGCAACAAGATACTTTAGCTCTTATTCTGACTTTAACTATAAATAATTTTTATAGGAATCAAGATCATGAACTATATTAAGACCTCAGAGATAGACTAGATCTATTATATTAGTTAATTATAATCAAATTGGAAGTTTTTTTTAATGTTATTTTTTCAGATTGTGAATAAGGCAACAGCTCACATTGTTATTATATATTCATGCAATATTCATCGCTTCAAACATTGTCAGGACTCAAAAACATCCTATCACGTAAATGCAGTAGTGGATCCAGGATTTAATTTTGGGATGCTTCAGCCAGCGACCTTTTTATATATATAATGATAATTACTTTGAAAGAAAAGGAAAGAACCTACCCATATGAAATGATTTTTAACTGATTCTTGGAGTAAAATAAAAAAATCTGGTGAACACAACATACAACTTTCACTTACCGCTCAACTTTGAATAGAAATTATTTTCTGGCTGTATTGGGCTATTATAATTTTTTAAAATTGCAGTTTTAACCGAGCCAAAGCTAAAAGCTTACAGCTAACAAATCATAAATACCATTAAAATAATAAAAGTCCTATTTACTATATCATCAGTTGATTATGGGTTGTACGATCCGTTGATAATGGATTGTACGACTATTAGTTATTCAACAGTTATTTTCCCTTGCAGTTTGCTAAAATTGAATTAAGAGATTTACATTGTCTGTCATAGACAAGTATTTTAAAAATTTACATTTAGTTGGTAAATTTCATTTAATTTCTTTGAAAACATGTGATTTACGTTAAATAATATTAGTTTTCAAAAATTATTATTTATAATTTTTTTCGCCACTCTCCGTTACCTTCAACACCTTTTTGTATTAGATATTGTTTTTGCTAAATTTCTCCGCTTTCCAACGATATATTAAACGTACACCTTCTGACTAGTATTTATGGAGATTCATTTTCGACCTGGATAAGCATTTTTATTTTTTTCTCGTTTCTTCAATTATCAAATTCTTTCAAAAGTTATATTTAGCATTTTCTCGTAACTCTAAATAATGTGAGATGATTAAATATTTAAAATAAACCATATTAAAGGTACTTTAGAGGAAGACATATATGAACATTGTGCATTTAAGTCCTATAAAGTGACATCAATGGGGACAAGACCTAATTGATGTTAAAGACCACTTAATAATACAATGATACACCAAGTTTAATCAAAATCGTTAGAGCCGTTTTTTAAAAAGTGTAAAAATGTTTTTCACAGTTGATATAAGTGGCACTTCTGATTAGTCAATTTTAACGAAAAAGTTGCTGTCACATCTAAAGCATACAACTATATTAAATACGTAATATCAGTTTCGTACAACTTTTCGTTTTTGAGCTAGACTGCTGACACACACACACACACACACACACACACACACAGACCACTTTGCGGGACTTGGCTATTTGGACTCAGGAGACCTCATAATGTATTTCCGTTTAAAACTCAGATTCAAAAATTTTCACGATCGCGATACTTTCCTTTACTATATATTTCATATATAGGTAAATGAAAGTCAAAAAATGTACTACTTTTAGTAAGTACACTGTAATACTTTTAGTGATTTTTTTTTTTTTTATAAGACATGGTAATATTTAGTAGCTGTATAATCATTATAATTTACAAAATAGAACTTTGTTTGAGTATTTAGATTAGACCACTCTCAGTGACAAATATGGAACAATGAAAAAAAATACCATTTTGGGAGAGAAGGGTGCTTCGGTTAAGAGAAAATTTTGTTGACAGATTTAAAGAAATTCAAAGCAGTATAATACAGATATATTGGAATACTAATTACAAAAACAAATATTCTTTATTACGTATAGGACTCAAGATTGATACAGTAATTTTGCTGGATATGAGAAGTGGTACCTATGTGATAAAAAGGACAATGAAAAGCCACTCCCCCCTCCCCAAAAAAATATATTAACTGTTGTTTTTTATAAGAGTAATATGATTGTTTTACAGACACAAGGTTGCTTTGTAGGTTACTTTTGCAGAAAACCAACATCATCAAGTTCAGATGTCCTGAACTACATCATATTGTTTTTACATATTGATTTATATTAATATTAAATCATTTTTAACAGATAATCTTATGTACTTTGAATTTAAATATGTTAAAATATAATGTCTTTACAACAAAAAGTCAAAAATCTATTTGATTAGATGGGAGATCAAAGTTAAAACCATTACAGAAAAACAATTAATACAATCACGGATACTACTGAAGGATGATACTTGATTTTTTAAAATTATGCAACAAAAATAAAAGCTAAAATCAGTATAATTTTCAATAAATAAGAATGTTACTTTTACGGAAATTATGTGAATCTTTTGACAAAATGATAAAATGAACATCAATGATTATTTTCTAACTTATCAAATTTATGGTTATTAATCGGTCCCTACAAATTTCAAATATCGCCAAGTGATGAATCGGGCAAGATTCTTAAACAAATACATAATAAATGTGATTATTATTGGTATTCGTAATGTATAAAGGTATTAAAAATAAATGTGGTGCAGTGCACACATCACACAACTTTCACTTACCACCCTCTTAGCAGAAATAAGTATTTTCAGACAAAGGGGAAGTGAAAGTAAAAATTATTAATGCTATATTGATTTATATTTCATTGTGGATATTTTTATTTATTTAAGTGCCTTTATATATACAAATTTTAATATTTATATTGCTGTAATCTATACAATTAAATATTAAATAATACCAATGAAAACCGCATATGTATATGTACATAATATTGTCAGAGTCCGTACTTATTTTTTTTTTTCCTAATCCCCCTAAACGTTTATTTAATAAATTACGTATAGAAGTATAACAATACTAATACATACAAATAATACAGTCCTTCCACTGCCCGAGGGCAAAGGAGTCTGTATTATATTAAGCTCATGTTATTATGGAAGCCAGTTAGAGAACATCAATGAACATAAAACCTATATAATATTAAAAACTGTTTAATTTTACACTGATATAATGAATTTAATCAAAATCGTTGGAGCCCTTTTTGAGAAAATACTTCAAACAAATCAAACGATCTTCCTAAAACTGCCCCTCCTTTTCATTTTCATGATCGCAATACTGTCCCTTACTATATATTTCATATATAGGTAAGTGAAAGTAAAAAATATGAAATATTCTCTCATCTTGTGTTATAATGCTTTGTATATAATAACTTAGTGTTAAGACTATTCAAAAATAGAAAATACAAATGAGTTGAAAATACCAAAACTGCAAATCTAAATTATGTAACGATGCTATATTTTTCATCGGTGGTTTCATAAATCATACAGAGTTGCGAGGAAACAGTAAATCATTTAATATTCTTTTTTTAATTTTAGAATGCAATTTTTATGTATTATTTCTCAGAGGTGTTTTATTTTATTTTTATCATTTAGCCAACTCTTCGTCAATTTTCATCAAATCCAGCAATTGAGCCCTCGTTTTGAATATATTCTTCTTTTTTATTTAGAAAAAATAGTCACATCATCTTCCCTCCTCTCCCTCCTCCCTCTCCCCCCGAAGTTTTATGAAAGAAAAGAAACTCAGAAAAATAAGCAGTGATTTAGGATATAGGCGCAGACTAACCATTTTGGATGGGTGTAGGGGGGGAGGGGAGGAGCCATGGACCCCTCAAAAAAATATGGGGAGTTTATATTATGTATAAAATTTTCGGACTGAAGCCACCAAAATCTTAAAAAATATTTTTTTTTCATTTTTCCATATTTGTGATCTGAGTTAAATACTTACAACAATAACAATGTCCTTTTTTAAAAATTATTATAATATATTTCCTTTTTTTTTTTTTTTTTTTTTTTTTTCGGTTGGCTCTAGAGACCTTGTCAATGTTTGGCCCCCTAAACCAGCCTTCTCCAGCTCTGCCTATCTTGGGCTACTGCTTTCCAGTTCGCTGCATGAAGCTCAGCCGTATCTTTGTTTATCCTATCTATCCATCTGGTTTTTGGGCTCCTATGTGGTCTCTTGTCTACTACTCTGGCATTCATTGTCGTATAGAGGCGTCATGATGGATTACCATGAGCTACATGCCCTGCCCATCTTAACCTCCTTGCCTTCATGTCATGAGATATTGACTGACCCGTTTCTTTCAGGAGTTCTTTATTGTTCCTTCTCCTCCATGTGTCAAGGTTCTGGTCCCATATAGGTCCTGTTATCCTAGAACTTTTCTTTCGAATCTCTCAATTCTGGCTTCTAATATATAGAACTCAACTTTGGCCCACCCTAATTAATAAAGCAGCCTATGTTGATCAGCCTTGTGCGTGTAGGCCTGGAACGCGTTACCGATTTCCTTGTTTTGTTTTTTTAAAATAAATTTATTCTAGGCCGAGCAAAGAAACGACAAAAATGAATAATCTTTTCGGCTTTAATTTATTATTTCCAGTCACGAATATTTTTTTATACCTCGCTGTTGTGTTTATATTTCGAGGAAACGGGAAAGTTTGTTTGTTTAACTGACCTCGAAATCGGCAATGATGAAAAGTATTTTAATACATTTTATCGATTTTGGTAATAAATCGGCTTTCGGGCTGAAGCCCCACGAAAAAACATTAATAATATTGTTTGTTTAATTCTATTTAATAGAACTTCAAGAATCACTTAAACACTATTTGATATAGGTAATTAGGATCTTCTTTCTTCTTACAAAGTAATAATCGTTATATATATATATATATATATATATATATATATATATATATATATATATATATATATATATATATACAGTCACTGAATATAACCACGTGTTATAGAAAAAAAATTATTTAAAAAAGTAATATATATATATATATAATCTTTAAGGCTGGAACCCCCGAAAATTTATGTATTAAATAAATACATTTAATAAATAAACCGAGTTTCTTTTATTTGTGAAAAAGGGGGGAGGGCAGTTTTAGGAATATCGTTCGATGTATTATTTGTTAATTAGTTTAATTTAAAGTAATTGGGTATAAAAGACAAAAAATAGATGTTGGATCCTTACCTGCTCCTGGATACAGGCCTTCCTCTTTAGTAAACGTCAAAAGTAACGGGACGTCCGAAGCCTTCCTTTCCTTGAGAATGTTAATTGGTGTTGCTGGGAGGAAGGCGTTCGGACTTGGAGGTTCCGCGACCAAGGCGTAAGGGGAAAATGGGTTGTAGAGCCAAGGCTGAAAAAGAAAAAAAAAAAAAAAATAGGAATCTACCCGAGATAATATCTATAACATCTTAATGAGTTGTTATGTTATGTTTTTATTATCGGCAGAACAGACCCCTATTTGTCAAACCATTAACATCGATATGAAACTTCACCAATAGCTTCATCTTATCGTAACCTACTACTTTTTTATTTACGAACATTCTGGGAAATGTGACGTTTTAACTGCCTTTATCACACCATTCTACACTCTTAATTTGAGTTTTTTCGGGATTTCAATACATTGTAAAGAAAGAAGAAAGCTCCGTTTGCGCTAGTTATACACTAATCTATTCGTGAACGTTGGTCATTCATTGAGGTTATAAATTAATTGGTATAACGTAGAAAATAAATTAAATAAGAATTAATGTTAATGTTAAATTGGAACAAGATATCAGATCCAAGTTACAGATCTAGCTTAGGACCGAGAAATTGCTTGTGTTGGACAAAACACGTTTTTTTTTTTTTAATTAATTGAAAGCTATAGCATTTAAGGAAGCCCTTTTAACATATACAGAAAACGGCAATGGTACAATCGAGAATTATAACGGATTCCATGAGTGTTATAATGGCATTAAAAAAATAACAATGAAAACAACATTAATTGAAGATATCAAAAATACACTCTGGTCATTACAGTTCAAACGACTAAAGTGTCATACTTTTGTGGTTACCAAGTCATTTAGCCACTAGCGGATCCAGGATTTAATTTTTGGGGGCTTCAGTCCGAAAGCTTCTTATTCATAAAAATAACGATAATTACTCTGCAAAAAAAGAAAAAAACTAACTACCTATATAAAATGGTGTTTAAGTGATTCCTGAAGCCCTTTTACATGTAATTACACGAACAATAATACTTTGAGAGATAATTTTTTTTTCGATAAAACATGGTTATATTTCCCATTTTGGGGGAGGGCTTCAGCCCGAAAGTCCCCCCCGTAGATCCACCCGTGCATTCGGGTATAAAAGGCAATGAAGAAGCCGACAGTGCTGCTACTAACGCAAGGGAAAGCATTGACCTGAAGCCATAGAGATCGAATTAGTACTGCCGAAGACTAGACCCAAGATATCGCATGCTGATTAATAAAAGAATGGGAAATCGGAAGGAAAACCGTAATGAACAACAGGCTGCAAACAAACCAGCAATTTGCAAATAGAAGACGAGAAGAAATTATTTTATGCCGTCTTCGCATTGGCCATTGCAAATACTCTCATGAATAACTTTTGCAAAAACTAGACCCACCCATTTGCAAAGAGTACTCGGTTATAATGGTAGTAAAACACTTACTAGTTGACAGCATTAAATTTGACAACAGACGAACTTCTATGAAGTTATAAGGAAATATCGGAGTACTACTAAAAGTTAATGAAAAAAAAATTGGAAAATTATGATTTTTTTGAAAATTAGCAGTATGTACCAAAGAATATAGGAGAAAACAAACAGCATAGCGCCAATGCTGACGAAATCAAATAAATAAATACTTTTAATAAATATACCTAAAACTAATTATCAAAAATGAATTAGGACAGAATGAAATTAGGTTTCGTTACTTCCTGATAACGTTCACTACCATAATGCTTCATTAGTAATGATATCGCTCTAACTAACGCTTTTCGTTGCAAATGTTACTAACATAAGTTTGAATCAAAAAAGAGATACCAATAAATGTTCGGTCGTTCCGACGATGTGATCCCCTGGTCGGTTCCTCAGGCATTCTATCATTGCTCTGGAGTCGTGGTTGGGACACCCCAGCTGACTGGCGATGAAGTTGGCCTTCTCCCTGACGTTCTCCGCGAAGGTCCAAGGGTTGAGGGAGACACCACTCATGCAGATGGCCGCTTGGAAGAGACCTGTAGAGAGAGGAAATTACTCAATATAGTTTGTTTTGTTGTGATAGATCTGTCTGTCATGGCGACATCTTGCACGGATGGAGTTGCTTACCCTTGCTGAGCGGAGATAGGACGTGGTAATCGACGCTGGCGCCGCCTGCCGAGAAGCCCGATATGGTCACGCTTCTGGGATTTCCTCCGAAGGCGGCGATGTTCTTCCGGACCCACCTGAGGGCTTCCACCTGGTCCTTCATCCCGTTGTTGCCCGGGACCACGTCGTCACCGGTGCTCAGGAAACCTGGAAATTAAACCGAATAGAATTCTTTTTTATTTATTCATGATATTTACAACTGTATTAAAATGAATATATATCTAGTAAATGTTTACACAGGAATATAATCACATTAAACGCTTGTTGAAAAACAACCCACTGATAGAACTCTAATAACATATTTACATAATATCACGAGGCCATTTTCTTTTCAGACGCCTTGGAGAGTTATCAGGGATCGAGGAGGAAGCGAGGTGTGAAACAGGAAGGTTCCGATGGTTTTGAGGTTTGTTACGGAAGGATATGTATCTGGATTAGGCTAAATCGGAAAGGTATGGTACGTTAAGGTGATGATGGATGATTTTACGAACGATTTTGAATTTTATGGATTGGTTACGAGAGGAATTAGATGGTTTAGTGAAGACCCAAAAATAATTTCCATAAGTCCAAATAGGCCTTATTATAGTCATATAGATAAGTATTTTGTAATTAATTGAAAGTTTAGAGCGTTTATCTAGTAAGTGCTGGAGTTGTCGAAAACGTCTACCAGTTTCTTGTCGTTTCAGTGTTGTATGAGGATTCCAAGAGAGTCGTTTGTCCAGGTGGAGTCCTAGTTATCGGATTTTTCCAACAGAGATAAGTGGGGTATTGTTAAAGAATACTGCAGGACAGGAGATCATAGGTTAATGACGTAGTGTTTGAATATTTTGGGATGCGGTTGATGGTTATTAACTGATAGGATACATGTGCCATCGACATAAGTGGTGGTGATAGTGTTGGGGTGTCCGCTACATAAACTGTGTAAAGGATAGGACCTAGGATACTACCTTGAGAAACACCAGCAGACTGAGAAAACAGGGATGATTCCCGTGCAGTACATTCTGCGCTCGGCAAAAGAGAAGACAACGTCTACCATACGATGACATTGCTGGATGGTGGAATGGGATGTGCGGAATACAAATTTGTGATCTGTGATTATAATGTGATTAGAATATACAGGCATACAGGCGTTTTAAGATGAGTTTTTCCAGGCTTTGCCCATGATGGATAATAGAGAGATAGGACGGTAAGAGGATAAGTATTCTGGTGGCTTGTGTATCATTTGGAAAATAGACAGTTTCCAAAGAAATCGAATTAGGCACTGTATTAGTGATAGGTATTTTTCAAATCATTAAAAGAAAATAAACTTTATAAGCTCAAAGGAGCTAAACTAAGCTGTGTTCTGCTTTGAAAAAGATCATGATTTTTTTTATTACCCTCCAACTATACTAGAGATATCCCATTTTTTTAAAAACTTCCTTATTCAATTAGCTTTAAGTCAATATTAATTAAGTTGGTGTTTATTTCGAAATATGACAAAATTCATCACAAGTTGTTTAAAAAAAATCCTGGTGCGGTTTACGCATCACACAACTATCACTCACCACCCTCTTCTTAGCAGAAATAAGTATTTTTAGACAAATGGTACGTGACAGTAAAAATTACAAACGTTATATTGATTTATATTTCATTGTGGGTAGGTAATTTTATTTTTATAAGTATTCTTATACATATAAATTTTAATATTTATATCTATGTAATCTATACAATTAAATATTAAATAATACCAACAATAGCAGTAATGAAAACCGCATATTTGTATTTACATAATATTGTCGCGATCCTTATTATATTAAGCTCATGTTGCGTATGGAAGCGTGTTTTAATCTTTCGGGCGAGCTTGAGTGCGCTCCTTTGGTTTCTCAATTACAATTATTCTCAAGTAACAGATTACAATTAACAGATTACGATCTCTTATTTCTCCTTTATTTAATTATCAACTTCTTTCATATTTTATATTTAACTATCTTTTATATTAGAAATTCTTGTGAAATGGTCAATTGTTTCAAATAAATATAATTAAAGGTACTTGAGAGGAAGCTAATTTTGAAAATTAGACATTTAAGATCTGTTAGAAAAAGAATAAAAACTACATTTTATTTAAAACTGCTTAATTTTACACTGATATGATGAATTTAATCAAAATCGTTAGAGCCGTTTTCGAGAAAATCGCAAAAATGTGTTTAGTCCATTATATGAAGCGCCACTTCTGGTTTGTCGATTTAGACGAAAAAGTTGCTGTAACATCCGTATCATATAAAAACCGTAAATATACAATGTCGCTTGAGTACGACTACGTTTTTTTTAAGTCGACTGTTAACAAACACACACCATTTTGCGGGACTTGGTTATTTGGACTCAGAGGACCTCAAAACGTGTATTTCCGTTGAAAACTCAGATTCGAAAATTTTTAGGATCGCAATATTTTCCCTTAATATATATTTCATATATAGATAAGTGAAAGTAATAAGTTGATTTGATTTACTTATGGAAGATCCTATACATTGTGATATACATTATTGTATTGGAGTATTAGGGAATTAGTATAGAAGTAAAAAATATATATATTATAATTTATATTTTATGTTTTGATCAAGTAAATTGGACTAACCCAATAGCTGACGAAATTTATGCCAAAAAAATTAAGAAAGAGCAAAAAAAAAATTCGAGTGGCTCTATGGCCAAAAAAAAAACCTCTATGCCGATTTAAGTAAATGTATTATTTCTCTTAAAATTTATTTATCTATAAATGTTTTACTTTTTAGGAATAGCTATGGAACACCTCCGCAGCAGATAATCTTATTTGGTTACATTGAGGTTCAGGAGGCCCAAGTGGGGCCTTCAAATGTTTGAGGAGGGCACATGTTGACGATAGACGATTTGCGACGAAGAATAATGTTTGTTTTTTGTATTTAGTGACCAAAAATGAATAAAATTGAATTGATAGAATTTTTGTTTTGAATTTTGGTAAATTCTCACTTGTTATGTGACAAGATAAAGAGTGATCATTGTTCTTAATAATGTTCTTGTGACTTGTTGTTATAGGTAACCTGAGAATGAGAAAAATAGTTCGAAACGTTGTTAAGAGTTGAATAAATAGTTGTATATAATAACATTACTTTTATTTATATATGTATTTTTTATTATTATTATTTATATTTGCTTTCTGTTTTTTTGCATATATTGTATGAATGCTTGTTAACCTTAATGAGGCAGATTGTACTATCATTCAATAAAATATTTAAAAAAAAAAAAGGATAAATAGTTAAATTTTAAGGGCTTATGTATCCTTGAAGGCACCATATATTAATAGGACATTAAATTTCCTTTGAAAAAAAAAAAATCTTGTGTGTCCACTCACACGACTTTCCTATCTATTCCAGAAAAGCTTTACATATGTAAAATAGAAGACTTGAGAACACTTGACTCAAAGAAAAGACTTGAGTACGATTTACTTAATAAACTAAAGCAATGGAAACCGGCTTAAGGTAAATCTGTTATAGGAAAGTCTCATCAAAACCGTTAGAGCCGTTTTCGCGCTACAGCCTATAGACAAACGTGTTTTTCATTTATTGCGCACAAGCTATTGCGCATGGAGCACCGAATTTCTGTCACGGGCATTGGTAGTCAAAACCCTACAAAATAAAAAAAGAAGCAACAAAATCAGTCCACTAGTTTCCGAGAAAATCTTGGCACAGACAGACAGACCAATGGCTAAACATGTATTTTTCGGACTTAGGGGACTCTGAAACGTATAGATCCATCGAAAACTGTATATAGGAAATTTGTCCCGATCGCAATACTTTCCTTACCTAATATAGCTAGTAAAGTAAAAACTACTGCAGTGGCTAAATTTATGCAAAAGATTGTTGTTAACTAAAAGTCAAAATATATGAAGGCCAAGGGTGCGATGACTATGAGGAAGTACTACAAGTATTTCAGTTTGGCCCACCCTAATTAATAAAGCAGCCTATGTTGATCAGCCTTGTGCGTGTAGGTCTGGAACGCGTTACTGATTTCCTTGTTTTGTTTGTTTTGTTTTTTTAAAATAAATTTACTCTAGGCCGAGCAAAGAAACGACAAAAATGAATAATCTTTTCGCCTTTAATTTATTATTTTCAGTCACGAATATTTTTTATGCATCGCTGTTGTCTTTATATTTCGAGGAAACGGGAAAGCTTGTTTGTTTAACTGACCTCGAAATCGGTAATGATGAAAAGTATTTTAATACATTTTATCGATTTTGGTAATAAACCGATATAGTAATTGATGTAATAACCTAGAGGTCTGAGCACAGACGGATCTACGGGAGAGGCTTTCGGACTGAAGCCCCTCGAAAAAACATTAATAATATTGTTTGTTTAATTCTATTTAATAGATCTTCAATAATCACTTAAACACTATTTGATATAGGTAATTAGGACCTTCCTTCTTTTATATATATATATATATATATATATATATATATATATATATATAAACAAAAAAAGCTTTCGGGCTGAAGCCTCCCAAAATTAAATTCTGGAATTGCTAGTGGGTCCGACGAGTATGTAGTTCATGCTGAAATAGATGACGCCCCCAATACATTATATTATGCTGGTAATAAATCGATATAATAATAAATGCTTCATATATCTTATCGATCTTGGTTATGAGTCGATATAATAATCAATAAATCTATAAATAATGACATTCTAATCGATGTTGTACGAAACTTAAAGGCCCGAGCTGACCAAGATGATATCTCTTATATATTTAATCGGGATAAAACAAACATTGTAACTGAAATTTCTTACAATTTCTGTTTCATCCTTATGATTGATCAGTCGGCTAATCTATATATTTTATTGATGTTGGAAGTAAATCTATATTAATAATCAAATTATCTATAAATAAAGATATACTATAAAAATCGACAAATGTGTAAATAAAGATATACTTATCGATGCTGTACCGACCTAGAGGCCCCAGCCGGTAGTTCATGCTGACCAGGATGACGTCCCTGTCCATGAGGATCGAGGCGTCGAAGAAGGTGGAGCTCAAGAACATGAAGGCCCCGCCGTGGATGAACACGATCACGTCCAATGGCCTCTGGTCTTCTGTCTTCGAGACCAGCTGCAAACAGTTCATATTGTTATTATAGCCGCGAAGGCAGGGACCAAGAATCGACTTCATCGCAGAATATTTGGTTGCAAATTACGAAATCGCATGCTATTCTGAGTAAAAAGAACCTTGGCTGCTGTTCCAGAGTCGCTGCTTTCAAAAATGGCGGCTGATTTAAAAAATATTATTTTGCGTTAAGTTTTTATTTATTTAACTTGTATATACGAGCTTAGACATCTAAAAGAACAAATTGCTAACGCGAGTTACCAAGAGAAAACTTTTTACAGCCAAAAATGTCAGATTATTTCAATATTTTTTTGTTTTTGTTTTCAATGAAACACCAAAACGAAGCATCAAAGCGAAAAATGTACTCGTTAATAAATTAAAGAATGTTAAATTTTGCTTCGAACGAGTACATACACTTTATAATTTGGTAAGGTGGCAAGGTATAAAACTAGGGTCAACCAACGCTTATTTTGACCGAATTCGTCAAAAACTGAGACAAATTACTCTAAATGGTCCCGTAACTTGGAAATGAGTTTCCTAAGAGGAAAGAAATAGAATCAAAGTTTTAGAGCATCAAATTTTGGCAGATAAGGTTCTTTTTACTTAAAAGTAACATGCTTTCGTAATTTACAATCACACCTTCGCCTGTAATGAGGTAGATTTTAAGTCTTGGCTCCAGGGCTATTATATTTCGCATAGTAATTATATTTCATATGATAGTCCAAGATTTTGAGCCACCTTGTTGTCCCAAGTCTCAGAAGCTTATGCCGAAGAACGGAGAATCCTCAGTAAAATCTCTGGGCATGTTAAACACAGGACTTATCAAATACAAGAGAAAAAAATCCAGAAGGTGCTCTACAAACGAAGTGGACATGGTCAAGTTCATAAAGACTGGAAGGTTACGCTGGGCTGGCCATGTCTCTCGAATGGATGGTTCAATGATTCGCGAACTACTAATGTTGAAGGAACTGCATAAAACAAGAAGAGTTGGAAGACCTAGAGCAAGGTGGCTGGATGGAGTGTATGTGGACTCGGGAGACTTCCAGAGATCCGGAGCTGGGCAGCTTCCAGGACAGTCTCAACTGGCGGAGGCTTATAGAAGCGGCCCAGGCCTAGCGGTGGCTTGTCCCGGATATGATGATGATGATATGTTACATAATTAATATTCTATTACCGAAATATAAAATATATGGTTAGGAAAAGTATTTTTATTTACTTTCAGGAAAGAACTCTATGAAAACTGAGATTGCATCTTCAATACATTTTTATTTGCACTTATATATAATATACCTAATCCTGTCATAAATATCGTTACAAGGAAATATATACATATTTCAACAGAAACAGTATTCTTTACTAGAAAATAAAATTTATATCTATAGAGAGTACAAAAACAAAGAAATTACTTAAAATGACTATATTTTGCCTTGACACAGGCATTTAATCTCCGTGGCCAGTCATCAATAGCAGCACGCAGCACTTCTTGAGGAAAGCGCTCAAAATATCGTCCTGATAGTTTTTAGCGCCTGTTTTAACTCCTTTTTCACAAAAATGTTACAGCAAAGGATCACTTTGCATCTATTCACTCTATTTTTTTTTTTTTTAGAAAATGGTTAGCCTTTATTCTGACATTCTTGGAAATGCAGCCATCCTAAGGTCACTTTTAGGTTCCCATTTACCGAGACACGATTTGTTGTTTTCGAATGGGATTTCTTCTGATTCGAGCAGCCACTGCTCTAATCCCCAAAGGTTTTAAAATGTTGAAAATCTCTGACCTACATTTTCCAACTTTGTGTAAGGGGACACAGCTATTCGGTTTTCTTTATCATCCCACTCCATGTTAACTGAGCGAAAGAAAAAATACAAACTGATTGGGATTATTATCCTGACATGTAAAGAAATAATCTGATAGCGATAAGGATTGTCTAAATAATACCCAAAGATGTTAACAAAGTTCAACTTTTGTAGCAGTATTTATGGCAGAATTAGGTATGTAGTGAAGGAACTAAACCATTCTTCTCTTCGAAATAAGAAATAACTTAATATAAAATATACGAGTTTAAACTAAAAAGGGGAAAAACAAGAAACATTCTCTCAGGTTTCATTTCAATGGGTTTGTTAAATAATTGATAAGTCGAAGAAGATTTAAACGCACTATTAAGAAGAGAAGCGGCAGGTTTTCAAAGTGTTATTTTTTTTTTTTAGAACGGCTTAATGGCTGCTGTTGAAATGATGTTGGCCAACGAAGATTGACTGTTGAGGTTTCAACATTAGCGAAACCCGTTGAAAGCTACCTGCATCGAGCGAGGATGCCTTTGAATGCACATAAGTGCAGGATAAGCACAATTGTGAAATAGTGTCCTTTTAGCGGACAATAACCGTCTTACGGAAGATGGAGTTTACCATTATCCTTCAAGGATGTCTTTTGTACTAATTTATTTCTATTATATTATATACCATGTATAAGATGACCAGATTTTAACATTGGAGAAGGGGAGAGAGGATGGTCCAATTCGTTGTTACAATAATTAATTTTACATAATGATCATCTGACGACATAGTATTCAGCTGAAACAAGGTTGAAAATTTAGTTCTAAAGACATATTTTTGAGGGCGAATAAGTTGATGGTGTATTTGACGTCTAATTTATGACGTCAAATATAATACAGTTTTTAAAGCTTCGATGTTTTGTACCAGTAGTTTCTACACGATGAAGCAGCTCTTTTTCAAAATGCTATAAAGCTTATTGAAGGTGACAACATTTCGGTAATAAAAGTAGTAAACGAAGTTAATTTAATCCCTAAGATTTAAACTTTTCTATTTAAATATATATTTTTTATAACCATACATTGTAGTCCGTGGTATAGATCCCCTTTTTATCGAATTATTTATTAACATCCGCCTGAAACTTCGTAAATAGTTTCATCTCATCGTAACCTACAACTATTATACGTAAATTCTTGGAATTCGGGTGTTTTCAATCTGGAGGGTGAAAAACTTTGTCTATTTAATTAGGTGCTAAAAGCTCGTAAATACTCATTTGTTCTCTTGTTGGATCGTAAGTTAATTTGATCACAAAATCGAGACAAAAGGTGTCCTTCAAAAATATTGAGCCGTTTGGCCTGACCTACACCCCCAAAATTTTAAAAGAACGAGGTTATAATTAATAAAGAACCAACGGCCCTATAATTTTGTAGGCTACCTTTTTTATCGATTTTTTGACCAAATTATCTTAAAATCCAAGTAGAAAGGAAATTGATATTTACGAGTTTTTAGTAACTAATTAAATAGACAAACTTTGCCTCCTCCCTCCAGTTTGAAAATGCCCCAATTCCAAGAGTTTCAGTAAATAAAATAGTTGTAGGTTACGATGAGATAAAACTATTTACGAAGTTTCAGGTGGATGTTAACAATTCGATAAAAAGGAGTCTGTACCACGGACCACGGGCGGATCTACGGGGGGGGGAGGGCTTTCGGGCTGAAGCCCCCCCAAAATGGAAAAATATAACCATGTTTTATGGGAAAAAAAATTTAAAAAATACCTCTTAAAGTATTATTGTTGGTGTAATTACATTTAAAAGTACTTAAGGAATAGCTTAAACACCATTTCATATAGGTAGTTAGTTTCTTTCTGTTTTTCCAAAGTAATTATCGTTATTTTTATGAAAATAAAAGGTTTCGGGATGAAGCTCCCCCCAAAATTAAATCCTGGATCCGCTAGTGCCACGGACTATTATTAATAAGATTATTTTTGGATTGTTTATTAAGTCCAAATAATGGTGGTCGAATTCTAACAGCTGATCAACAATGCGGAATTTGCTAAGCAGTTCTAGATAATCAATTCTCAACAATTATTATTAAAGTTTAACATCCTAAAATTAACAAACATAATATAAAACTCATATCCTGACGAAACAGCCACCGAAATTCGTATATTCTCTCCCTTTTCTGACGTTCCCTAGTTTGTCGTTTATTCTTTCCAAATATTGGGACTTCATAAAATGACGAGAGAGCGGGACATATTGTTAAAAATCGGGACTGTTCCGCCAAAAGCGTGGTCACCTTAACCATGTATCAACTTATGCCGGCGTTATATATATATATATATATAAAATCTAACGTTACTATTCACAATAGTCTCTAACTGCTATTAGTCCGTGGTACAGACTCCTCTTTATAAAATTATTAACACCCGGCTGAAACTTCGTAAATAGCTTCATTTCATCGTAACCTATAAATATTTTATTTACGAAAATTATCGGAATTAGGGCGTTTTCAATCAATCTGGAGGATGGAAAACTATGTCTATTTAATTATTTACTAAAAACTAGTAAATATCCATTTGCTTTCAACTTTAATCGTCAGATAACTTGAACAAAAAGTCGAGAAAAAAGATTTCCTTCAAAAATATTGAGCCGTTTGGCGTGGACTACACTCCCAAATTGTTCAATATTTTTTAAGGCCACTTTTTTTTTTTTCGACTTAGTGCTCAAGTTATCTGACGATTAAAGTGGAAAGCAAATGGGTATTTAAGAATTTTAGTACCTAATTAAATAGACAAATTTTGCCGACATCCAGATTTAAAACGCCCCAATTATGAGAGTTTTCGTAAATAAAATATTTGTGGGTTACGATGAGATGAAGCTATTTACGAGGGTTCGGTCGGATATTAATAATTTGAAAAAAAGGGGTCTGTACCACGGACTATATGGTCACCAGACCTTTTCTATATGCGTGTTAGTTCGTTGTTTGTTGCTTAAGGAGTGGTAGAAACACATTTTTACAATGGAGTGGGAAGTATTGTTCCGATGTTTTTGTAAAAATAACAAACAATTAAATGATCTGTGATTTTTCCACCATGTGAATTTTTATGAAATACTCCTGTAAAGAAGAATGCCCCTTAGACTGAAAGGTTCTTTTATGCAAGTTAATATTAACTAACTGGCAAACTATGCAGTTTCACACAAAGCTATTTTGAAATGCATATATAGCCATTTGTAAAAAAAAAAGTTCGTTACAAAAATAGAAAACTTTTTCGCCGTCTTTTTTTACATTTTCATGTTATGGAACGTGTTTGGAAAATATATTCCGACGATTTTAATTAAAATAATTGAACTAGAAGCTGAAAGTGTCTAGTTCACATTAGCTATGTCAACACAAAACCAATGTTACAAAGTATCTACAATCTCTTTGGGACACGAATTCTTACTAATTCAAGGAATGAACCATACTTTCGTAAATTATAGCTGAACATATTGATCATAAAGTGAATTATAACCAATTAACCAATGATGCCTTCCATTCAGCCATAGATCGGATGTAGCGAAATCCTAATTTTTTGCATCCTACATAAATTACATTGAATACTCGTGCCCTTGGGTTGAGAAGTATCTTACGAACAAATTTGGGCAAATTGAGTTTACGAAGTGAGAAGGATCCCAAGCGCGCTATTCAACCCTACTTAGGAGTGGACATTCATGTCGATATTATCGAAATATCTATATTTTCCTCTACTCGCTCTACATTCAATATGAGTATATATTTTTGTAACGATCAGATTCATATAAAATTCGAAGCGCTTTCCTAAAACGATAGTTTTAAATATTATTATTAAATTAAAATATTGAAGAGAGGATATCGATAGTAGATAATAACGAATTAGATACTATCGATGGTAAAATATCGAATATCGGAAGGAAAATATCGATATTTCGGTAATATCGACTATCGATAGTCATCCGTAGGCCGTATGCCAACGAATACCTTTCAATTGATTACAGGTTAGAAATTCTGGAATTACTAGAAAGAAGAATGAATACAACGAAAACCATGGGTTGAACCTCGCTGGAAATTTCAAAACAACAATGGCATGGATTAAGGGAGTTCGTAAAGATCTAGAATGGTCAGACATCCGGTAGGTTCAGATGTTGGCTAGAGCTTTTAGGCGCGTGAAAGATTGGAATGGTTTCAAGTCGAGAGAACTACGATGACTGGAATCCACAAATGGAAGCAGCAGCACAGTGCCCTCATGTAGGAGTACTGAAGGAAAAGGAAACTCCATAACAAAGAAGAAATGATGTTGTAGCGTGATCCTAAATGTAATTCGCAATGTATAATATAAATTCGCGAATAAAATAATAATAATGATTAGCTGAATGGAGTGAACATACCCTCGGAGTGTAGACGTTGAGGTAGAGACAGTCCTCGGAGCCATGGACCGCGAAGGGGGTGTTCATCGTCATGTGGCTGTACTGGAGGCAGGGCGGCGCCGCTCGCGTAGCGTTGTAAGTGCCCTTCCATCCTGAGGCTGGTGATGGTTCCTGCAGGACAGAACACCGAGGTAGAAAGAGGTAGATAGAGGAAGGTAGAGGTAGATAGAGGAAGGTAGAGGTAAGAAGCGGTAGATAGAGGTAGAAGAGGTAGGTAGAGGTAGATAGAGGAAGATAGAGGTAGGTAGAGGTAGATAGAGGTAGGTAGAGGTAAATAGAGGTAGGCAGAGTTAGTTAGAGGTAGATAGAGGAAGATAGAGGTAGATAGAGGTAGGTAGAGCTAGGTAGAGGTAGATAGAGTTACATAGAGGTAGGTAGAGGTAGATAGGGGTAGGTAGAAGAAGACAGAGGAAGGCAGAGGTAGGTAGTGGTAGGTAGAGGTAGTAGAGGCAGGTAGAGTTCGATAGAGGTAGAAAGAGGTAGGTAGAGGAAGATAGAGGTATATAGAGGTAAATAGAGGTAGATAGGGATAGATAGAGGTAAAGGGAGGTACATAGAGATAAATAGAGGTAGATAGATCACAAATTTACTTACAGGGAACTCTATTCACAGTATAAGTACGCTTTTGCTTGGGCAATTGTTTTAACTTAGCGATAACTAACACTGCTTTGTAAGTCCCTTTAGTCCAGCCAATGAATACTCAAAAAGAGGGCACAGAAGGAAATGGCGGGGACACAATTTTGAACTTTGGGACATATTTTGGACTAGTAAGGAGGTCAACATATTAAAAGTCCACACTATTAGCTGGTGAGCCAGATGTGGGGGAAAGAGGTGCCAAGAAGAAAAGTTACCATAATACCATTCTTCACTATTTTGCTTAGTTTCCAAGATATCCGTTCTAAACTATCGCTAATTTGGAAAAACAAAATGTTTACCTCATATTTTTTCCCTGTATTTGACAAGCTAAATCTTGCTTGCTCCGTTATACGATTAAGTCATACGAAAGAAAGTTTTTAATAATAAAATTTTCTTCAAGAATATATATTATTTTACTAGTTTATCTTCAACAGTCCAAAAGTTAGATCAATTATAACGTTACATGTCAATTCCAAAAATTTGCAGAAAAAAATAATTTTCATAATATTCGTTATTATTATGATTTAACTATCCATACAATAGAGCAAATACTACAATACTCTGTACTACTATATAGCAATATAATAACGTATGTTATAAAAAATATTTTTTTCTGCAAAATCTAGGAATTTATAGGAATATAACATATAAAGTTATAATTGATATAGTTTTTGAACTGTTGAAAATAAAATAGTAAAATAATGTATGAATATTTCAATGAAAGTTATTAATAATAAAATAAAAGAATATATTTTACTATTTTATTTTCAACAATTCAAAAACTAGATCAGTTATAACTTTATTTCCTTGATTTTGCATAAAAAAATAATTTTTATAACATACGTTATTATATTCCTCTATAGTAGTATAGAGTACTATAGTTGCTATATAGTATGGATAGTTCAATCTTAATAATAACGAATATTACGAACATTAATTTTTTCTGCAAAATTTTGGAATTGACCTATAAAGTTATAATTGATCTAACTTTTGAACTGAAGAAAATGTTATTATTAAAAACTTTCTTACGAATGACTTAGTCATAGAACGAAGCAACCAAGTGTTGCAATCAAGAAAAAAAATGTGAGGTCAAAATTTTGTTTTTCCAAATTAGCGATAGTTGAGGAACCATATCTTGGAAACTAAGCGAGATGGCGAAGAAATGTATATAATCAATCATAATAAAAATTTTCTCACCTTTAATTTTGTATAGAACCTCTTTGTCGATGTGATGGATAAGTTTCCTCATATAAGCGAAAAAGTGACTTTTAGTATGTTTACCTCCTTACTAATCTATACAATGTCCAAAACTCAAAAAATGTGTCCCCGCCATTTCCTTCTATACTAGAGGAACACGTGGGTGGGGGTGGGAAGAACATTTCTTGAAATATTAAACAGCATGCATTATCAAAATAAACTATAATTTATAGCAAGCTAAATTCCCAACTATACTTGGGAATCCAGATACTTGTCAATTCTTTTGTAAAAACACTCAATGAATCCCATGATGCAACAATTCTTTTTTTTTTTTTTAAACGAACGTGAATATTTAAAAAAGTGGTTTGAAAATAAATTTGAAGTAATGTAATGATTGTTAACTATTTTTAAAAAAAACATAATTCATCAAAAAATTGTCAAACCTTTTTGTTCGAATGGAAATTAAAAATGAATATCTTTTTTTGTACTATATTTGCAAAAAAAAACTTAAATTTTTACTACAATTTTAATAAGTTTTTTTTCCCCTCCAAACTGAACTCTAGTCAAAAATATTATTTATTGTTTTTCAAAGTTGGTCTTTACAAGTTTAATTCGTCCCAAAAGTTTCAGTATTTTTTGTTTTATATTAATATAATCTGTGATTTTTTAAAAATATGTGAATAAATAAAGAATTTCTTAATTTATTACTTTAGAAAATATTTTGGTTTTGATTTTCCAATTTGATAGAAAATATAGTTTTTCGCGTTTCTTAAAAATTTATCAATGATCATCAGGGTTCATTTTGGAAATAAACAATATTTAAGTTTTCTTATTTCTTCTTAAACCTTACATTTCTTACCAAAATATGTTTGTTAGATATAGATGTAAAAACAAATTAATAAATTAATAAATGTAAAAACATGAATATGTACATAATCATATTTTTATTTTAGATGTAAATCTGGTCCTTGGTTATAAGGATCTAAATTGGACCATCGATACATTATAGATAGATAAATACCTTGAACGATCGATAAATTACAGTCCGTAGTACAGACCTCTTATTATCAAATAATTAACATCCACCCAAAACTTCCTGAATGGCTTCATCCTATCGTAACCTAAAAATTTTGTATTTAACAAAGTTCTTAGAAATGTGTGTTTTATCACAAAATTAATTAATTTAATGATGTACTAAAAACTCATAAGTACCCATTTACTTCTCACTTGAATCGTAAGATAATTTGATAAAAAAAAAAATATTAGGCCATTAGGCCTCTATAACTTAACGGCCGAATATTTTTTGGGCTCCTTTTTTTCTCGATTTTGTGGTCAAATTTAATCAGTTCAGGAGTTCAGGAGTTTTTAGTAGCTAATTAAATACATAAACTTTGCAAATCTTGGTCTCAATTCCGAGAATTTTCTTAAATAACAAAGGTGTAGTACGATCAGATTAATGTTGCCCAAAATCGGTCTTGGTCTTGCACTTTGCAAGACCAAGACAAAGACTGGTCATGAAAGATAATTTTTGTGAATACAAAGTAAGGCAAAATAGTTACTAATACTTGACAATTTTAGTTACTATATGTAAAGAATTGGTATAACCAATATACTTTTGAGTTTAACTTTCCAGTTTTTTATTCGGGCTTAGTTAGGTTTCCCCTATCTGAAAAATTATCTAGTAATAGGCTAATAGGAAACTTCAAGACTGCTGCGAGACTCTTGCTCAAGACCAAGACTCGTCTTGGTCTCGCATTTGGGCAACACTAGATGGGATGAGGCTATTCACAATGTTAATAATTTGATAAAATGGGACCTGTACCATGAACTATTTGTTGTTATTATCATCATATCTTTGTTAGATATTTATAATAAATGTACGTTATACATATTTTTTTTTCTGTTTTAGATATAAATCCGATCCTTGGTTACCTTGGACCATCGATACATTGAATATGGATATCTACCTTGAATTATCGATACATTATGCATGCCATAAATATGCATGGACCATCGATATATCCTAGTTCGATACATACCTTGAACCTGCGATCGCCGATGGGCGGCTCTGCGTAGGGTACCCCCAGGAAGGTGGAGTAGGTCCTCCCCCCGACAGAAGTGGCCCAGAACCCTTTGAGGATCCCTTGCTCCAGGATGACCTCCGGCTGGGCGAAGACCTCGAGGACGGCGAAGTGGCAGAGGATGGCAGTGCAGAATATCGAGGACAACATCTTGCTTCCTCTAGGTCTGGACGAAGAATGGCGAGTCCACCGCTAGCTCCGGCCTTGGTACCTGCGAACCGAATCTATCAACTCCTTTTCCTCGAGTGAAGGCAAAAAGTAAATATCTTCATTTATATCTGTCCCAGCGACCTTCGAGCGGCGGAGCACAGCTTTTTGGGAGTGGAGATCAAACAATATCAAATACGTGATAGTTATTTCGGGTGACTCGGCAGTTTTAAATCAATAATTTGAAGATGCTATCTGACTCTAGACCATTCATATAAGATTCAATGCGACCGGCGAGAACTTCAGTTTGATGTATCGTCTTTTGCCATCTTTGCAACGATTGTGTAGTCTCAGTTTGTCCTATTTTATTATAGTATATAGGCAAGCATTTAAAGAAAAATAGCCTCCATATTAATATAGTGGGCCTCAACTTTACATAATAAATAATAGAGTCATTCTTATATGATTTGACCACTAAGCATTTCTGAACATAACAATTCATGTTAACAAAGATATCAACTTTTTGAAAATAAAAATATTATCTTAAATATTAGTACAAATGTAACAGATAACAAACTTCAGCTTCGATAATCAGTTTTCGTTATATTAGTTTTATTTGTTATGATTTTTTTAAACCATAAATTAATTAATATCGACTTAAAGCTTATTAAACAAGGATATTTTTCTTCAAACGGTTTGAATAAACAAATTTTATTAGTATATTGGAATGATATAATGGCTACGAATATAATAAAAATAAAAGTAAAATATAAATACTTCAAACCAACTTGGGAAATTTTTTTAAAATTATTTTTTAATATTTTTTTATTTATTTATTTATATGATATTTACAACTGTATACAAAAAATACATCGAGTAAATTCGCACATTGGTATAAAGACATGAATCACATGTTGAGAAACTACCCATTGGTAGCACTCTAATAATATGTCTATATTAGAAGATCACGTGGCCATCTTCTTTTCAGACACCTCGGAGGGTTATCAGGAATCGAATAGGAAGCAATGTTAGAGACAAGAAGGTTGGGATGGTTATGAAGTTTATTGTGGAAGGACAGATATCTGGATTGGGCCAGATCTGATACATAAGGAACATTAAGGTCATTATGGATAATTTTATTTGTAACAAAGTAAGGAGCATTGAGGATTTTACGAAGGAATTTGGATTGTAAGGATTGTATGCGAGAGGAATTTGAAGGTTTGGTGGAGCCCCATAGCTGAACTCCGTAAGTCCAAATAGGCCTTATTATAGACATGTAAATGAGTTTTTTATAATTAACTGGAAGCTTAGAGCGTTTGCTAGTAAGTGTTGAAGTAGTCGGAAACGTCGAGCTGTTTCTTGTCGTTTCAGTCTGGTATGAGGATTCCAAGTTAGACGTTTGTCCAAGTGAAGTCCAAGGTATCGGATTTGTTCAACAGAAATAAGTGAGGTGTTGTTAAAGGATACTGAAGGACAGGAAGTCATTGATTTACGACTTTTTTAATTATCATTTTAATTTCATTCAACAATGCCTATAAGAAAAACATCTAAAATCCTCCTTCTGTCCTCCAAATGTTTATAAGAAAAATATAGTCTAATGACTTACTGAATGGTTAAGATTCCAAACCATTTATTTAAATATCAATATCTGCTTGTAAATATAGAATTTTTCTTTAGGAATATAATGCATTATATATATATATATATATATATATATATATGTATATTTACAAAATTTCTTCAATCAATCTTGAGTATTATTTAACATAGTTATTTAATTGGGAATTAGGTTCCTTAATAATTATTCAATAAACTACAAAATGTTAATTCTAAATTCTCGAGACAATTCAATAAAAAAAATTATAAAGAAAAGAAAAATAATATGGAGCCTAACTCCTTGAAAGGTAATTAAATTACCAACAAAACAAACAAAAATTCATCGGAATCGAACCAGTATTAGCGATGATATAGCGTATTTTATTTTCTACACATGTTTTAATTTATTACCCTCCGTTACAGCTATTCAATTTCCTATGTAAGAATACAAGTCTAAGCGGTGAATGAGATAAAAAGAAAGAAAAATAGGAGAAAGTAAGAAAATCTGTTGCCCGCATCACACAAGTTTTCTTTCCAATTTTAATAGAAATTATTGTTTTCCAAAATTGGGCTAAGGTAAAAAAGTTTTTGATTAACAATATTAGAATGTATTGAATTCTTTACGCTGATCTTCAAGAAGCCGGTTTACATAGCTTTAGTTTATCTAAGAAATGGTACTTGAATCATTTCTTTGATCAATTTCAGGAAAATAAATCTAATTCAATTTTTTTTTTTGTTTCTTAATGGACATATTTAAAGATATAAAAACTTTTCTGAAATAGGTAGGAAAGTCGTGTGAGTGGACACGCCAGATATTTTTCGTATACATAACGATAATTACTACCTAGATATTAAAGAAGAATAAAGATATTAACTACCTATATGAAATGGTGTTTATGTGATTCTTAAAGTCTTATATAATGTAATTGTACGAAAAATAATACTTTAAGAGATAATTTTTTAATATTTGTTTCCATAAAACATGGTTATATTTTGCCATTTAGGGGGAGGGCTTAAATCCGAAAGCCTCCTCTCCCCAGGAGATCCGTCTGTGTCGTCCACTAGCATAGATATTAAGCTGTTTTTATCTTTTTACAGACATCAAGTAGCTTAATATCTGTGCTGGTGGACGGTGCTGAGGCTGTCGGTATGTCCCTTGCCTCAGGTATCGAGGCTCTATTTTTAAATATTCAAGAGGATACCATTGTTAATTATAAAAAAAAAATAAAACAAAATAAAAAGTGGATTGAAACACCGGATAAACAGCAGGATCAATGAACATTTTGTAGTTTATTGATTAATTATTAAGTGACCTAAGTATTGAGTATTTCTTAATTGAACAGTACTATTTTAGGTATGTGTTCACAAACACAAAATAAACAAAAAAGTTCACATTAACATATATCTCAAACTCATTTATTAAACAGATATCAAAGATTTAAGATTTATTATTTATTAACTACATTAAGACTGACTGTACAAAGTTTAACGTGTTTAATACTAAATAACAGGTTTTAATCACCTGATAAACAAATGAACGATAAGAAATTACAGTCGATGGTTTATTCTGCGGCAGTTGGCACGCAAGAAGAGCTAAGAAATCGGAACAAAATAAAGGCCCCTTTGAACAGTTACTCTAAATGTTTTAATAACAATAAATAAATAGTAATAATAATTAATAAATCTTTAACCTTTGATATCTGTTTAATAAATGAGTTTGAGATATATGTTAATATGAACTTTTTTTGTTTATCTTGCGTTAGCGAACACCTACCTAAAATAGTGCCGTGCAATTACGAAACACCGTGTATATATATATATATATATATATATATATATATATATATATATATATATATATAAACATAGTTAAATAAGTGTAAAATCAATGAAATTTAACGAATGTATTTATTTGTTTTCAAAATAATGCATACTAATTGGCCAGTGGGAATAATTCCAAGGTTGAAAAAATCCAGAAACAAGAATGACGTAGAGGAATAATAGCGTGAAAAATATTTCCTGTTTTTTATGGTACGAAAATCTTTTTTTGATAATCTTTAATAACTTGGTTTAATAAATTCATATCTAATAATATTTAGTTGAGGCAGTGGCCCAGAGATCTGTTGAAAAGAATATATTGGAGTTCTGGCAATGGTCATGTAGGTCTGGTTATAGTGCCTCTGCTCAGCCTCCATTGCTTCTTAATAGCAGTAATGCGGCTGAGTGAGAGGCGCTAGGATATCCTAGATTCCTGCTTTTCCTTCCACGATTAGAGAGAAAGGTTTGGCTCGGGGATCTTGAGCTAATGAATTTTGTAAATATTGTATAAAAGCATGTTTGTATTTTAATTAGTTTAGTGTCTTTTAGTATTATTATTATTTTGACCTAAAGATATCTTTATTTATTATACTTAGTGTGAATATTTTATCACTATTACTATTGTCCTTAGATGCGACAGAACGTAATATATCTGAATAAAGAATTTTCGACAGAAAAATAAAAAAAATACTTAAATGGTAACTAGTCTTATTCGAACATAAATTAATTTTACTCTAATACTTAAAAGCGTAAGATTGGTAAGTGAAAGTTGTTTGATAGGTACATCACATTTATTTCAACACTTGGTGACCTCATTATATGAGCTTTCAGTAGATTCGATTGTTTGATGTATTAAAGAACTGAACATATCATAATATTATCTCCGCGAAAGTGTGATAAAAAGGATGCCTTCTATAGCCCACCCAACACCATCTAATGGCCAATTAGCTATTCTTATCAATGCTTATCAGTATGCAGTAATTAATTAAACCCAATTAAAATTATGTTCAGGCTTTGTTATTGTCTCATTGCAGCACGATTATACAAAAACCATTCATGCCATTATACTAATAAACTATAAGTATTCAGTAACCCAGTCAATGAATGATGATAGAAGGAAATGGAATGAACAAAATTTTTGACTTCGGGAATGTCTTCGGACTAGTTAGGAGGTAAACATACTAAATAATATATATAGCAACATATCCTAGCATTTTATGATTGATTCATGTGCACCCTTCCATTTTTACTTGAAGATTTTATCACACCCAAATTTGAAACATCGGAACATTGAGATCTTATTGCTCCAAATCTTAAAATAAACATTCGTAATATATTCAGTGGATTTGTTAGCATATATTTAAAAGTACCCCCATACGCAAAAAAAACAACAAATAACTAACATATAAACAATTGAAGAGAAGTTGGTTGGGGTTTTTAGTAAAAAAACAAAAAACAAAGTAAAAATAAATGAATGATATTTATTTTTATTTTTGTTGACGTTTCAGCCCAAAGTTAAGGCCTTCATCAGGGCTCAGAAAAGACCAGATAACAATAGGTATGAGAAACTATTAACTTAAAAAAAATAAATAAAAAAATGTTATATATGTAAGGAATATATGAAAACAAATTCATAACGCTGACAGAAAG